CTTAGAAGGCTTGAGTAAGGCAGTTTGATTTCTCACTAAAATATCTTCAGAAAATATAACCCTGAAGGTTTGTGCAGTTGTAGAAAGCTTTATCTAACCCAACATATATATGTCTTATGGAATTGCCCTAGACTGGATTATGACAACCGTGTCTGCAGTTCTGCTCATCTTGAGTCTTTTCTTGTCTGTGCATTTTAAGACATACAGCAAGATCAGCTGAATGCTATTTCCCCCCAGGTCCATTCACTCGGATGATGTGCTAATTAGGTCACTGAGAAAAATCAAAAATATAGAAACTGGATTGAGTGCTCACCAGCTGGCTCCTACATGTAATTGCTATATTTTGGGTTAATTTGTCTTAAGCTGTTTTCTGATGTCTCTGAGAATGTTACCCATAAAAAGGCAGACTGCACATCAAGAAAGCAAGTCAGTGAACACATGAATATTTTGAGCCGCAGAATGTAGCATTCAGTATTTATCACTACAGGAAAGAGGCATGTGACTTCTCTCTCACATGGCAGCTCCTAGGTTCATGCCTTACTGATTGGAAAATGGCAAAAGTATCCTGAGGAATCACTTTTGAAGAAAGGGCAAGGCAGTGGAACAATCCACAGTGCTAATATTTTGTTGCAGAATGATCTCTGGGACAACACCTGCTCTTATCCCATAAGAAAGTCCTGTGTGTTGGAAGACAATTGACTTGCTGAAGGTAGAAATTAGTTACTGCAGAGTCCCTTGGTTTGTTTTCTGCTTAAATAGAAGTGTTCTGTCATAAGTGTGACCTCAGAAGTAGCAGCATGACCTGACAAGCAAGCATATTTAATCTGCTCCTTGCTGGAGTTGAATGAGTTTTGGCCATGAATGCATATGCTGTGTATGCATACGGGTAGGAGTGAGTGTGGCTCCTTGTTGGTACAATTTGAGAGAGAGATGAAGAACTGTTGGAGCACTTTGAGGTATTGCTACTAAGCAGGAACACATGTACTCCACAGCAAACAAATTTGCTCAATATTTTTATGAGTCTCTGAGCTCAGCTGGTTCTGGCAGGGATGACTTGACTTCATCCAGAGAGGCAGTAGGGGGGAGATCATCCAGTCATTCCAACTTTCCATTTATTTGGGTAGTGGAACATAAGTAACTTCTTCCTGGTGCTGGAGGGAGTCACCTTGGGCTCTTTGTCACGTACAGTGTGTTGTGCTGCATCTCTCATGTCCTTCTGTAGCATCTAGTGCAGGTCCCTTGTACGGCCTAACCATAGTGCAAAATGTAATTGCCTCTGATGCAGCAATTTCAGCACAAGCAATTTGGACTCTGTGGAATAACAAATAATAATAAAGAAAATAGTCTTGCAATAAATGCTAATGACACCCAATAGGATTGCACTGAATTTGTCATTAGATAGTAGATATTAAATGCAGAAATACTAACTTTCCCAGAACCTTAGAGAGCTTAGAGTTCTTTGTAAATATGTAACTCTCCCTCTAAAGATACAGTTTATTTCCCAATGCAAATTCTTCATTATTCTGTAGTTAAGGCTGAAAGGCCTTATCATTTACCTGAATCAGAAATGCCCTTAAGAGAACAAAGTCATTTACTGAGTGAATTTTGGAAATTGAGGCAACCATTCTATTCTGCAGGTGAAACCAAGCTGCCACAAAGTCTGTAGGGGGCTGTGTGTGTGTCTGTCACCATTTAGACCGCTGTAGCTTGGGAAGCTTCACTATTCCTTTTTTTCCCCCTAGCCTTTTGATGTTGATTGTTGTGCTCTTTTCGGTTCTCCTGAAGCCAGAATTACTTCTGCCCACTCTTGTCTCACTACCTCTCTCTTCTTGTGCAGTCTTCTGAAACTAGACCATACTGTCTTTGTAAAGCATTCACTGCCTAATACATGTTTATAATGTTAACTAATGCTGTTCTGACCTTATGAACATATCATTTATATCAAGCATGTGCCTCTTGATGATACAAACTATCAAATAGAGAATGGAATTTCTTTGTCAATCTATTTGGCAACCATAAATAGGCAATATAATAGTCATTCTTCAGAAGTGAGCAGCAACATGTGTCTGAATCCTGGTATTTGCAAACTTACTTTGAAGTTTTCCAACATTTTTGTTGTCAGCTGAGAGCTGGCATGTGATATTTATGTTGGCTTAGTCAACATTTGGCAAAAGAGGGTAAGAACAAAGCTGGGTATAAAATGGGAAGCTTTTTAACAGAGAAGGCACCTTTCCATAGGTATGATAGTGCAAAAATATGGATCACTTAAACTGTCCAGCATATATAAGGAAAACTGATTTAAAAGCCTTTATTTTCAGAATTTCAGCAAGATATGTTTTCATTACTTCAAAAATACAAAGTCCTTAAAAGTATAAGTGCTCAGTGGTGAAGTCCAAAACTTACTTCATGCACTGAGAATTTCAGTATGTTGAAGAATTATGTTTTATAGCGTTACAGTCCTAACTGACTTTAATGTCATTATTGAAAATGAGGAGATAACATCCATATTATGTTTTTGCTGCACCCAGAACTTAGAGAGAAGCAGAGGTGCAGGTTCAACCATCTTTGGCTCTCCCCTGTGAGGTAGGGTAAGACCAGGGTCTCTGCCAGCTCTAGTCTCATGCAGAGCATGTGAATAGAAAGGAGGTGAAAGGAAGCAGCATCAGCTAACAAGCCCAAGCCAACAACATTGGTGAAATGAGCTTTTGCCCCTAAAGAGAAATTACTTCCTTCTGTGAGGAAAAGAAGAGAAGTTATTGTGAGTCTACTGTAGCTCCTCCCTCAAGTTCCCCCAGGAGCAGGATGGCTTCATCTGTGTGATTGGGAGATCAGCTCTGAAACAGGATCCTTGGTTTGGTTCTCCTTTCATGTATTTATTAATATTATTCTGTTTTACATGAAATTTATTATTTGTCACATGGTTTCACAACCTTGCAAGAAGAGACTATCCAATAACACTGGTCAAGCACCACTTTTAAAACAAGTGGAAGTTTGTGAGTGACCTGAAATAAATGTGGAGGGCTTGCCTAGAAGAGATTTAGCAACAGCTATGTGGCACTGGACTTCAGAAAAAACAATGAAAAAGGGATTGCATTTTAAAGTTGGTCTCACTCGAAAGCATCCCTGTTTTACAAACCAATCTTCAATCGTATTCTAGTTGTATTCTATAATCATGTTATTAGTAATAGCAACAAGGCCCTGCAGTATGTTTGCACAGGGCATGAATTAGCAGAGAACTTGACCTTGAATTTTGCACATAGAAACAGAGAAGTTACGTTTACAAGTGTTCTGTGTTGGTTCCGTTTCTTGTGTGGGTATACATAGGGGAGTGGGGATAAATACCCAGTTTCTCTTTAAGCTCTGCTTTAAGCGATCTGTGATGCATATCAATGTGATTTTGTGACAAAAAGTTATGATTCTTCCATTACACACTTGAAATGCTAGCTGTAAATCTAGCCTAACCATTAAAAACGAAGAGCCAAGCACTCAAGCTTTCTGAAACATGCTTATTAAAAATAATATCAGATTTTTTAATGGCCCTCTACTTTTTGGGCATCTAAGTCAAGTTTTTGATTGCCACAACAGCTAGGAGCATATATTTTGTTCAGCCGCCCTCCTGCAAATAGAAAAACAATAAAGAAATTTATATTTTTATGGCCAGACCCAAGAAACTAGAAGCAGGAGAAGAAAAAAAAATGAATCTTTAGGTCAAAGGCAAGATTTAAGTGCTAAGCATTAAATTTAGCTTTTCTGTTTACCCTTCTCTCACAAAACGTGCTACTTTGTAGCGCAGAAGTCCCCATAGCCTGGCTGTGATATTCTGAACCCCAGGAAATTTGTGCAATAATATGAATTGATGTATATATACAAATATGGGAAAGGAAAGAGCAAAATAGTGTGCACAAGCAGGTAGGAAGGCTGGGAAGAGGTGAAGGTAAGATACATTGTTGGTGCTGCCGGTGAGAGAAGGGAAATTGTCAGGGCTGTGGCTCCCAGCTGCTGCTGCTGCTGCCTGGGAAATGTGTGTCAAAATCACCCAGTGGCACAAGCAGCGGCAGGGATGACGCTGCCCCTCTCGGTATCCCTGCTCCTCCTGGTGCTGTCGTCCACCAGGTGCCATCATCACAAAGGAGTACTCATAAGATGCTGTTGTCTGCATTGCCTTCTCCTCCCCTTAAACAAAAATACAACTGGTATGTGGCAGTGAGATTTATTTTTATTTTTTTTTTTTCTGCTGCTGTAAGATTTCGAGATAATCCAACAGTGTATTTACTGGATTTGAGAGGTGATGTTGGAGGGGGAATTCCACTGTTGCCTCAAACCCAGCAGTTTATAGTATCCTGAGTTGACCCCTACTGAATGTATTACTTCAGGTTTGAAACATTTTGTTGCAGGAGCACAGCAGCCTGTTCCTTTAATGGGAATGGTTTAATCTATCGCTTGCTGTTAGCTTAATAACCTTTTGCTACTTGAACTGTCCTTTCTGCCAGATTATTTTTTCACAGCTTCCCTTGGGGTTTGGCGATGAGCTGAGTGTGTAAGAGACCACTAAACAAGAAAACAAAAATCTCCAGAGATCTTAGCTGAGCAACCCTATTTAAGTAATAAAACTGACTGTGTTTGGTGAGGCAACTACATAGAGCAAACGTTTAAAGGACAGAACGCCAAATACTTGTTTGTAACCCTAAGCCTTTCTTAGCAGCATTGTTACAGTTATAAAAGAATATGATCCCTTTCTGAGCCTCACAGACTACCTGCATCCCTGTATTAATTCACAGCGCTGCTGGATGGGCTTTGTGAGCGTTGTAGGGCTAATCCCTACAGTTCCTTGATTTTGAGCATGTGCAGAGCAGCCGAAGGTACAGCCGAGCGTGTAGAGCTGCCACACAGAGACTTGCCTTGCAATGCCATGTTTGTGCATGTGTTCCTACAACTGAGAAGGATACAGGGAGCCTGCCTGCCTGGCTGACTTATCTGATGTTTTCTTGTTTCTGTTTCAGCATTCAAGATAATTCCTTCAACACGACAGATTTAGCAGAGTAAGTGAACACTTTAAAGATGTCCTTATTTTTAAATAAGAATGATGAGTTTAGTTACAGTAGAAAATAACTGTAAGTGGTATGTGAGAAGTCCCAAGCTGTCTGTCATATATTTTGATTCGGTCTTCTGTAATCTAAATATATTATTGACTGTATGGGAAAGATTGCATGAAGCAGCTGCTTTTACATGCTCTGTGATCATTTAGCAGTAAAATACCTTTCTGGGAGAATATAGTTGATGCACATCACACATGTTTAAATGCATGATTTTCAGTGTAGGATAAATATCCTGTGAAAATATTGCTCATTTCTGATACTAATGATCTTGAAAAACACAAGCATGTCAGTTCTTTAAGAACACACGGTCTGTAGTTTCTGCAAGCATTATTAAAAAAAAAAAAATCCTTGAAAATATTTTGAAAAAAATAGCTATCCATGATTTAGGCCAAGTACCAAATACCTCATTTCTTTGTAATCGATCCCATAAACTCATTAGAAGGCCTTTCATATATATAATGACCATAAAGATATATATGTTGATTTTTTGTTGTTGCTGTTTTACAGAGACAACAGAACAGCACAGGGGAAAACATTAGAAAGTTAGAAAGGCAAAGGCTCTAGGAACCATTACAGATTAAATGGTCTTTGTTTTCTTTCAGTCTAAAAAAATTCAATTTTTTTGTTCTCTACATTATTTTTTTCATGTTTTTGATTGTTTCAAAAGCTCTTAGGGAAGATTCTTAAGCAGTAATGTGCCAAGCAAATTCTCAGGAAGGAAATGATTTGTAGCTTTGTTTGTGTATTAGTTGAGCTTTACACTGTGAAAATGCCCATAATTTAAAAAGCCCTAGCTGGACAGTGAGCCAGTGTTTGCCTAAGTGTTGTGGGGACAGGATACATTCCAAAAGCAGGCCAAGTTGTAATCTTCTGAGCCATCCCTAAGTATTGTCAAAACCACTACAGAAAAAGTAACATTTCATAAGGATCCAAATAATTTCCCTCTCATACATTGCTTCACTTTATTTGCTTATATTTCTTCACTTTATTTCATGTTTTAACTTAGTAATTCTTTTAGTGTGATTGTGGCAGTATGCAAATATTTAATGGAAGCTGATAAATCATGAGGTCATTTTTTATTATTTTCCTGCATCGCTATTAGTTAAATGATGAATTCTGGTCTGTAAAATTCTGGGGTTCTCGCCCTTCACAAAAGAATAACCAGATTACAGATAGTGCATTTTTCTCCTTCCCTTTTCTCTGTCCCTAAGTACATCTATTGCTTCCATAAAGATTCCCCTGGAGCGGCCCTTGTCTCTGCTTCAACTTTGAGGTTTCTGGGACTTGGAGGTGATGGCCTTTCTCTGTGATGCTTCTTGTGACCATTAAGACAAGAGCCAGGATGGCATAAAATCTGACTTCATAGTGCCAACAGTGCCCCTGGGGAAAAGGAGAGGGGTGCGCACAGTGCTGAGCTGAGCTGAGAGACAGCAGCAGGGCAGAGCTAGGGCTGGCCAGGCGGTGCCTGAAGGGTGAATCTCCCTCATGTAAGCTGCTGTTCTTTCTGTTTCAGGGGCTTTAATTTTTAAGCGTATCTTCCAAACACAGAAGTAGAAATGTGCTTTTAGAAAACAAAGCAAGTGAACAATGACATCTGAAAAGCATTGTCCAAATGCACAAACTTGGTTTCCAGGATTTCTCTAAATCCTGTTTAGATCCTCCTCCCAAAGCCTGTTTTTGAGAACTGCTGAGGATACGTTATTCTCACTGATTTCAGCACTAGTTGTTTGTGCTGGTCATATCTGAAAATAGGTTACTTTTATTTAGCAGAATAAAGAGAGAGCTTGCCATGCAACTTTAGACACCCCCATTTGACAATTTCTGTCTTTACTTGTGATTAAGGCAAAATCAGGGCTTCCTGAATGATATAAAATCAGTGATACAATACTTTCAGGAACATTTCTCCAGACAAGACAAGTGCCTGAGGTTGCTAAGCTTCAAGCAAGCCATGTGTGTGGCCTGGTTTAGAATTTGTCCATGTGAACATCTTAAAGGTCAAGTTAGCAAAGGGGAGCAGTTTTCAAGTTGTACTGAAATGGCTCCTATGGAAAGGCGAAAAAGGAACAAAATTAAAAAAGCTAATCCCATTAAATCAGAGATCCTTGGAAGAAACATACAGAGGCTGTAGAATAAAGAGTCAGAGCAGCAGTCCATCTAGACTGGGCTCCCTTCTCTGACCTGACTCTTCCCAGTGCCATGAGATCAGTAATGGAGGTACTTGCTTTTAAGAGACATATCCATCAGTCAGTAGTTTAGATTGGGCACTGAAAGCAAAAGGATTCACATCACTGGTTCTGTCAAAAGATGTTCTTCCTGCCCAGTGTAAGCTTCAACCCTTATGGATTTATGACTTAAAGCTGATCTGGTATATTCTCTGATGTTTTAGGAATCAGTGAGATGCTTTTGGGTTGATGGGAACTCCCTCTCCTACATGGCCACAAGCTTTCACAAAACTTCTCAGACTCTTGAATATCCATCTCTCTGTTAAATATAGCTAAAGTTGGACAACAAGATTTATGAGTCACTAGTGAGAGGAGAGGAGTGTCTGCATGTCTGTGTTGATATGTGCAGACAAGTGGCATGAACACATAAGCTGCATTTCTTAAAGAAGCCAAGATAAAAATACTGTGTTCTTTAATGATGGATATTTACGTTATATCATGGATTCATCTTTTTAAAAGTCCTGCTATGGTCTTAGCCTCAAGCACTGTCTTGTATGAGTGAGCTTTCTCAGTTAATATTTATTTTAACAAAGATAAAAATATCTGTTTACAATTTCAGAGTGTGTTGTTTCTGAACTTCCTCACAATCTTTTTACTATATGATGGACACAGTCTTCTCTTCTTCATTATTGCTTACCTTTCCTATCTACTCTTATCCAGTCATTCAGAAACATTTTGTTATGGTCCCTTATGTTGTTTATAAGTTCTGTCTTGTTTTATACCTTTTACCAGTTGCTGGATGCTGAGTTAGGTTCCCTACTTCTCAAGATCACCTTATTACTGCCAGCTCAGGGGAAGCAACACCCAGTGCATTTCCCAAAGTTACGAGGTGTGCACACAACTATGCACACATAGATTTGGCTGATGGACCTGTGCTCAGTCATCTAACATCCTTCTGAAGAGTGTTCCCAGTCATTAAAATGGTCATTCACCACTGAAGGCTGCCAAATGTGGCCACTGGTGAGAGGAGAAGGTGTGTGAAACTGGTAGCACAGCTGCTTCCTCCCCCCTGCTCTTCCTGTGGCACATGCAGGAGAGACAGTTTGTCCCTTTAGAAGGTCCCTGGACTTTGCTGACTGTGGCTTGTCCCATGGTGCATAACATGCCTGGTGGTGGCATCTTAATCTGCTCTCATGGCTGTGCTGGGACTTCTGTCGATCCAGCTCTGACCTTGGCACAGTCTCCTCACAGTGTATTTTCTTACTGCGTTTTTCTCCCTCTGAACTGTTCCATTGTGTTTTCCATCCAGGTTTCTGGTTCTTTTTGTACTGGGCTTCCTTCCTCATACTCCCAGTATGTGCTACCCTCTCACCTTGCTGGTGTCAGAGACCCATGAGGTAATTAGTGAAAGACCAGAGAGGAAGGTATGACTGGCACCGGGAGGCGAAGGCAACTAGATTTCCACAGTCAATTTATCCATTTTGTACATCGACCCATGTCTTCCACCTGTCATCCCACTTTGTCTTGTAGGGAGAACTGCACCCATTGCAGGAATATTGTGTGACTGGGAGGGATCTGCAACTGTAATTATATATTCCAGTTGCAAGCAGCAAATGCTTTCATCCATATGCTGATGTACTCAGGAAGTGTAAACACTTGAGTGTCCCTTTAAATATTTTCTGCTGCAGTCTGGCTTTTGACAAAGATACTAACAGAAGACTGGTGGGAAAGAGGAATATATTAAAAACCCTGCCATCAAATTGCAACACAGAGCTATGAATTTATCATTTAATGTGCTCTGTCCTAAGCACAGCAGCTCTTCTGAAAATTTAACAAGTCAGCGGAAGGACAGGCTGCTTCCCTCATAATGAAGAGATTACTCTGCCAGCAAACTTCAAGAGATCCAGGCCTGCTTAGTGTCTGTGCCCTGTGAGTATGAACAGAGGGTGAGGAGAGGGCCCCGACTTTTCCCCAGAAATAATACCTAGAAAGGCTGTATGTGTATGTTAGGAGTGTATACCTATAGATGTATGTTTATTTGAAGAAATAAAATACTGCTTATAGGCTTTGGAGTTATATCATTCTGTGGAGTTCAGCCATGCTGCACAAAATAGTGTTCAACACTGAGTGGTTGGCGTATTTATCCAGACATCTCTTTTGATTAGGCAGTCTTATGACAATTCTGTTGTTTGCAACTTAAGGGGATATAATTGATTATGATTCTTCAAGCATCTTAAAAAATTCTGCTAGTTCACTTTTTAGGACTAATAATCACTTTATGATTTATTTCAGGATTCTTTTTCCAGCTGTATAGTGCATGACAATATTTTTGTGGGTCTAGGACAAAAATGCCGTTAGCTAATTGTTTCTAATTTTCTTTTTTTTTTAAATGTGAAGTATACTGTAAGCAATTAAGATACAGAATTTCCTGTAATTTTCACGTTAACATCTGAATTCTTTGTCATCATTATTTCTATCTGGCTGAAAAAGACACACCAAATTGTATACTCTTAACATCTCAAATCCTCTTCTTCCTCTGAGATTTAGACTATCATGGAGCATCTATGGCATTAAATGATTCCAGCTAAGGTGTGAGAAGGAGAAATGTGTTTATATTTTGAGCTGCACTGTCATGTTAGTAAAAGCTAAATTTCTGCAACTGGCAGAAAATCAGCAATTATTTTGTATCTGTTTTCAAGGTGTGACGGGGATTCAGACTCTGTACATGAAGATCAAGCAGCCAGTTCCAGCCCCAGGTACTCTTCTGCAAATTTTGTCTGAAACCCGTTGGCAACAAATAAAGCTGTCAGAGCGCTTCTGTTAAACCATGAGAATTAAACCTTTATTCTCAAGGGAATGCAGAATTTCTGGGGTATTACCTGCTAAGGATATTAGTATTTCTGGGAAATGCGTATTTGTCTTGTATACCTTTGAGTAAAAAGTATAAAAAAATATTTTTAAAAGTATAATTTTTTTTTAATTAATGATGTTGTTATATGAGTAAATATATTATGGTCTGTGTTCTTCACATCATGTTACTTTCAGATGCAGCTCTTATGCTAACACATTTAATTTTACTGTACAGCAGCTGGTATAAAGTAGTAGTATGAGGAATTTTGCAACTGTTCAAGGATATGCTGTCATTGATGAGTGTCTCTATGAAAAAAAAAATCTTCAAATTGTTGTTTAACTGAAGTATTCTTGAGGCGTGTGTCTCTCATAGCTATGTGAGTATATGTTGATTGCTAGAGGATGCAACTTAACCTTTAAGAAAGATTTTTATATCAGATGATACCTTAAAATTAGAAACACTTCTGCACATTGTTGAAATGCCTGTAAGATATAAAGCTTCCTACCCTGTAACTATAACAACTGCCTCCGAGCACACTTGCAGAAAACATGGGTAGCAATGGTGTTTAACTCCATAGGCACCCTGTGAGCATCCATCTGGATGCTGATGGGCCACAGATGGAAAGTGAGTTTGGCAGTTTGGAATCCTTAGGAGAAAACGTTGAATTAGCAAGTTATGCTTTCTAAAAAAATCCCAGGGGTGTTTAATTCTGTAGTCCTTAACTCCCTCAGCTGTGAAAATTTCACACCAGGAGAGAGAGGTCATCTCTCAGCTAAACATTAGGATCTTACCAGCTGAAGCTAGCATTTGGAATTCCACCTGCAAACTAAGCAACAGCCAGGGATTTCAGAGCAGTAATGCCGATCTGCTCAACCTGCCCACTGAGTAGGGGGCCTTGCATTCTGCATTGCAGTGGCTTTCTTAATGGTGCTAGGGAGACACTCCCAGTGGAAAGCAATAGACCAGTCCAAAGATGGATTGACTGGATGTGGATAAGACTACCAAGGCTTTCTCAGGACAGGTTGCGCTCTGGAGGCTAGGTGGAGATTGAAAATACCTGTCCCAGATTCAGTGGTTACCTGAGCATCCATGAGCACCAGTGTCTGCTTAAACCGTAAGATGTGCTGTTATACAAGAGGACCTTTTCTCCAAACTGGAGCATGTGATACCTGTCCATTTCACCCAAACACATCTCTGGCTGTTCAAACCCTACTTTGTATGCCTATCTCCCCCACTTTGTCCAAAAGCCCTCAAAAACAGAGACTGTCAGAAGAAAAGTGTGACTATCTGAAGGAATTCTTGTAAGCGATGACATTTTTGTGAGATGATAACCTAGTGTGAATCACTGGGCAGGGAAAGGTCTTCTGCATGAAAAAGACAGTTTCAGATTTTATTTGAGGAATATAAACTATAGGGCTGAAGCCAAAGAGTGCCTCTAAAATGAGTCTCATTTAAATGGTTCCATGCTTGAATGTGTAATAATACTAACAGTAGTTTAATTTGTGATTAAACTAGATTAAGATTAGCCGCTCAGATTCATGTTACTAACATATACAGTGTTATACATGTAGACTACTCAATTTGGTAAAATTAAAAAGCCATGAATAGCTAAGAACTTGTTGCTGTTCTTCATTCATAATATTTTGACAGGTGTCTGAAATCCTGCCTGATGCATTTCCATTTTATTTTCTTACAGAGATGATGACAACAAAGAAAATTATCCGGACAACGCTGCTGTCTTAGAGGAAAAGCAGCTGCCTTTGCAAGATACCCAGAAGCACAAGCAGCAGTCTCTCATTGACTACGCCCTAAAGCCTGAAATGGGCAACTTAAAGCTAAGAAAACCTAAGCCCATTGCAAAGCTAGAAAATGGAAAAAGCCACGAGGAAAGTCAGGTAAAGAACTAAACTTACCAAGGGTAGGTTTATGCCAGTGTCTGAGCAAACATACCTTTTGAAATGCAAAGTGGGACTCCCTGGTAATCCATGACGTGACTGAGACCCCACAATAATCTACCCTGATTTTCAGAGACCTGGAGTCCTGGAACCCTCCTGTAACAACAGACAATTTCTTTCAGCCAGGGATGTGCTGCAACTGCTATCAGAAGTGAGTGCAGAGCATAGCTGAAGATATGCAAATATCTCTCTTTAGATTTCCTGTGACTCCTTGCACCAAATATAAAAATCTTGTCAGTTGCAGCAGTGATTAGAGTTTTTCTGGTTTTGTTTGTTTAACTGAAGATCTCTTGCACTTGTATTTTGGCTGCCAATTGAGAGATTTTATACTTTCCCTTTATCTTGATTTCGACTTTTTCTCATCTTTAAATAATAAATCTACTCCAGTGCAGATTCTGTACCAGTGCTCTTGCCCACAGGCTTCCTGGGTTTAGCTGAGGGAAGCAGAACTGTAACTTTTCTAAAGGCTATAAAAGAAGGCTAGAAATGAAGAAGCTTCTGCTGCTGTCTGTGGAGGTACATTGTTAGGCAGACTCCAGAGTTACCACCTCCCATCAGCTGCTGGAAACGCCGCTATTCTCCCCTGGTGCTTCCCAAGTCATGTCTCATGTGCAGTGTAAGGGATAGAGCTCTGCTCCAGGTTTAACCCCTCAGCTAGAAATATTCTCTTAACCAATATAGTTGATGTTAACGTTGGTAGATTGTTGGCCTGTAGTAGATACAAGGCCTGAGAGATGTCTTTATTTACATCTCTTCTTTGATGTATGGTATATTTGGCTATTTCTGTCTCTCTCCTCACTTCTTGTTTGTGAATAGCAATTTGCAGAGTGCATTCTCAAGTGCTTTGAATCCATCGTAGACCAGGAATGATTTTCGTTTAGAATTGGAATTCATCATATTGGATGACATGTCTTACCTTCGAAGTGAGGAATATCCTTTTGAATCCCAGAAAAAAAAGTAAAAGCACGTGGCATCCCAATGGTATTATCACAGGCTCTTTTAGAATATCAATGTCAACTCTTGACCTAATCTTCTTGCATATTTTTGCTAGAGTTCATCCCTGAGATGAAGTAATAACTGCTGATTTTTTGTAACTGTATTGCTTTCCTAGGAAATGTTATTTAGGCTGCAGGGAGATGAGGTGTGCATGTTTATCTGCAGATAAGAAAAATGATAGGAAATTTTACCCTCTAAAGAGCAAGTGGAGGCATATCAGGAAGAGTCATAAACAGGGCAAGATCCGTCTCATAGGTCATCTGTTGCTCTTTCAGCTGCTTCCAAGTCTCCTGTCTGCTTATTCCCTGAGTATGTCATGCCAGTGTCTCTCACCCAATGGAAGCAAACACAGCACACATTTGCTGCTCTATGGTATTTTACATGGCCTGAAGTGGTTAACTGACATTGACATTCCTTCGTGGGAAACTTCTTGAGTATATAATTAGACTGCCATAAAATACCAGTGTAACTTAGGTATGCAGCCTCTGGAAGGAAAAACAGTGTCAGGCAGATAATTGTCACATGATTCAAGGGCTTGAATTAGGAAACACAAAAGTGGTGCTGGGACCCCTCACTGCCCATTGCTTCCATCTCTGGTGTACTGGAAGAGGTGAGATCTGTAGACACTATTTTATTTCACCTTTGATTTGTGGGAGTACTTGAGGCATGAGAGCTAGTGTAGAGATTTGAGTGTAATATAAAGCATAAACACAAAGTTAACATCCCTTCATAAAGGAACTCTGCTCATTCATAGAGGGAATTGTATCCTAGTACCATGAAAGACTTTTCAATGAATATCCTATATCTACACTGACTTCAGCGGCGCTGGCTTTAGAGGAAAGAGTTTGCCTCTTGGGAGGGTTTGCAGAGGAGAGCTGTTTTGGAGAAAACATCTACCAAGCCCTTCATTTTGTTAGCCTTCATTCTCATTAGTTAGGATGTGCACGGTTCCAAGCTGTGCACAATTCCTTGCTGAATCTTCAGCTACCTCAAGGGCTTTTGTTCTTAAGGAAACGAGCATCTGGCTCCTGGCTTTGTTAAAGTTGCCTATAAAAACAAGGTTCTGCTTGCAGAAGAGGTTTTTTTCTGTCTATGGGTTCTCATTGGGATCCATGGTGTGTTATGACCTCCCAAAGCCTATTGCAGCTGTCAGTGTTAGCAACTCTAGGTGTGAACTGGTAGCACCTGCTTCTCTCCATTTTGAAGCTGAAAGCAAAGTGCAGTTGTGTTGTTTCTAGTAGCTGTTGTTTATATGTATGTGGCAGGTTGTTATTACCTGGAAAAGTGGGCCAGACTAATGCTTTGAAACACTGTGCAACTGCCTATACCTTCCTTTTGTGAAACACCTTGCCACCAAGCCACTTGATGAGATAACTCATAAGCAGTTGGTGTCAAGCTGACCAACAGCAGTAACTGAGTACATGAATTTTTGAAAGAAAAGCGTGATGCACTGCACATAGTGATTAAACTGTTCATCCTCGCTACCCTGATTTTATTGATAGAGTGCTTCTCCAACAGTCTCCTCACTTCCCCAACCTGACTTCTCTGTGGTATCAGACAGAGACAGTGACAATATTGCAGTGACAGTACCTCTTTTGAAGGTGTTGCTCTGATAAGCCAAGGAAATGTTTGCTACTTGCCCCTACGTGTTATAAGCCCATGCGTTGCCTTTTCAGAAAGTTGTCCCTTTAAAATCAGAATAGGTTATTGGGAGATAAATAAGTTTGCTGCATGCGGTGGAAGGATTAAAGTTTGTTTGGATTGGAATCAATTTTGTGTGCCTTTCTACAAGTGAGAGTCCAGGGGATTTCCATTGTAAAAGGGTCACTAAGAGGGAACAGACTATTGCATCCAAGTAGAGGAAAGATGGCCAACTTGGGGATTTTGAACATCACAAGACTCTCTGTCTGCTGAAGTATGATTCCTGTGCCTGTAATATTTTTGACACAATTATAGTACTGTGGTCATGTACCTGAGATCTTAATGAAGAAAAAGTCATTAAATTTACAGTGATGATTAACAGTACCAAGTCTAATAAAATTGCAGTATCAAGTGACTTCCCTTGGTCATTTATCAGCTGATAAGATGTCACAAGAGTATATCTGTATCTTGAATACTGCATGCAGTTATTGAGGGGCAGGAGCTGGGTATGGGGGCAGTTGTAACCTTTCCAAAGTTTGGCAAGAGAGGCAGGCTGCTGTATTGTGATTACACCACTGTACTCCAGCTACTTGGTTTCATCTTTCCTATGGTTTCATGAGCTTCTTTAGCAATTCTGCAATATTAATCTATAGAAAATCAAATTAATTAGTATTTATTTTACTTCAAGAGGTGAGAAGGCATGCTCTCAGAACATACTCTGGGGAGTCAGTGTGAGAACTTCTTCCCTTGCCTAATCCTTTCTCCTGTCACTCACCTTTGATGCACAGTCATGAATATAGATTATCAAATGTGTTATCCTCAAATTTATTATTGATACTGAGCCATATTTATAAAATGACACTAAGCATGCTAGTGTCTCTGCCATGCTAATAGGTAGAGGCAGTAAAAGTTCAGTTTTAAAGCCATATTATTGAGGTAAATGACTATAAAAATGAAATGGTGGCCTAACAATCAATGTGTAGAGATGGGAATGCTGAAAATTGGCATGTGAAGTTTGGTATTTTGTGTATAAATTAAATAGGCATATTGCATGGATTTCAAAGAACTTCCAGTAATTTGGCATTAAAATTGTCATTTTAAATGCACTGGAATTAAAAAAACAAAAACAAAACAAAACCAGAACAAATATTAACGCATTAGCTACACAAACACATGAACATGTCAGACAGTCTGCAAGTTCCACTTCAATTTTGAGGTATGCTCTGCTTATGTTTAAACCACACCTCCCATTGTGAATTAAGTCTGTTCAATTCACTGTCCGTTAAATATAGCTGCTTATTTTCTTGTGTGGACTTACGTTTTCAGTAGGAGTAGGAGGCAATTCTGCTCAGGACTTTAGTCTTGGCTATTTTCTGTATTGACACAGCACCATGTAGTGTGCCAGGGCTGTGGTCCCAAATGCTGGTAGGCTATTTGCATGGAGCTTGCATTTGAAGAGAGATGGAAGTGTTTGTGTGTTGGATAAAGCATATGAAGGGTGCAGGGCACTTTCTAGGGTTCAAGAGCAGATTAAGGTGGTGCTGAAACACAGCAAACATTTTTATGCCTCGACTGTAATTCAGATGCTCTGACAGAGATGGGTTATGACATGTTGTGATTTTTTTAAGGAAAATGGATTTTAAACTAATTTTAGCTTGTGAAACAGAAGTTGATTTATCTCAACATATGTATCCATGATGGTAATTTTTGTCTGCTTCCAAACCCATGTATTATTTTGTGTACAGAGCAAATATCATGGTAGTGATTATGCAGCACTGAGTCTCCTCAGCAATGCCTGGAGATTTCCCTCTTCACAGACTGCTTACCAGATGGAGCCTTGCTGTAGAAGCTTCACTCTCTGTAGTGAAGAAGAAACAGAAATACACTAGAAGACAGCACTATACTGTTGGATGCCTTTGACGTGTCAGGAATGGCTTTCATTGCTCTTAAGAAATAGAGGTTCCATCAAGGGTGTTTCCCTAGGGTTACTCTTTAACATCCTATTACAAACAACAATAATAACAAAGAAAAAAAGAAAAAAAAAGTCAAAGAAAGACCAACCAAAACCCACCCAAATCCTCAAACATCAAGCCTGCAAGTAAGCGCTTATTACCAGCACATAGTCTTATCCTCAGCTTTCCCTTTCATCTAGCAGAAAGCATCTTTAATTGCTGTTTTCTCTCTGCTGATATTGGAGAGGTGTGTTTGTTGCAGAAGAGGCTTCTGCTGAAGCTAGTTTACTACTTTAACACAGGTTTCATTTTGCACTTTAACTAGACTGACATTCTTTGACTGATTAAGTTAAATAGTACTAAACTGAGAAGGCTTCAGACATAAGATATGCTTGCTTAAGTTGAAATGGGCTTGCTTCATTCATTTACAGAGCATACAATGTTTTCTTTTGTACCTGTATGAACAGCTTTTGTGGTCAACTTCTGAAGCTAAGCCCACCTAAATGAGTGGTCAATGGCTGTTGCCTCTTTTGGTATTTTATTGTATCCCGAAACTCCGTATTCTCATAGAATGGCATAAAAAGCTAGGATTCAAGTTCTGACTAGAAATCTCCACCAATGATGCTGCTACAGTCATAGGAAAGTCATCTCCTGAACTCCAGTGTCCCGGCCTCTTCCCTCTATCTCCCTAGTCTACATCCCTCAGATTTACAAAAAAAAGTATACAAATTCCCAGCCTCACTTCCAGAGGTTTTTCTGAAATCTGAATTTTAGTCTTCCTAAGTGTCTCTGTTATTAAATCTCTTTGAGAAAGCATTTTTTCAGTATGCATCACAGTGATGATGTAGAATTCTTCCAGCTTTTTCTACTGGAATATAGTGTTAGTCTTTCTAGTTCCTGTCATGTCCAATACCTAGCAAAATGTAACCCAGTTCTTACAAGAGATTCCAAGCATATATGTGGAAAATGCTTATTCTACCTGGAGACCAGCAAACCACTGAAGATTTCTGAGCAAATAAAATAAGCTGAACTAGTTCAATCCACTTCTACCTGGAACTGTAATGAAAGTTCAAAGTTCAAATTTATGTTGACCTGTTTAGGCCCCAGGAACATATGGTCATTTTTATATACAAATATATTGAAGAGGACTGGATCCAGTACTCCCCAGGGATCAGTACTGGCTCCAGTCCTCCTTAATGTATTCATCAATGATCTGGATGAGGGGACAGGGTGTACCCTCAGCAAGTTTGCTGATGACACAAAACTGGGAGGGGTGGCTGACATCCCAGAAGGTTATGTGGCCACACAGCGACACCTGGACAGGCTGAAGAGGTGGACAGAGAGGAACCTGAAGAAATTCAACAAGGGCAAGTGTAGGGTGCTGCAGATGGGGAGGAATAACCCCCTGCACCAGTACAGGTTGGGGGCTGACCTGCTGGAGAGCAGCTCTGTGGGAAAAGACCTGTGAGTCCTGTTGGCCAACAGGATGACCATGAGCCAGCAATGTGCCCTTGTGGCCAAGAAGGCCAACGGCATCCTGGGGTGCATCAAGAAGAGTATGACCAGAACAAAATGAGATACATTGCTTTACCAGGGGAAGGGAACACTATTGTTTTGCAAAGCACATTGTACTTTAATTTTGAAAACTATTAGAATAAAATATTGGATGCTAAAAGCTAATAAAGAAGTAGGAAAAAGCCCCTCTTTGATTATCACATTTTCAAAGAACTTCATTATCTTAACCCTTTGCAATACAAGGGAATTATTGTATCCCATTTTATAAGTAAGGAAATAAAGTTGTGCTGAACATGTCTTGCCACAGACCTACAACTGGTTTTCAAAAGCTTGGAGCGATATGTATACCTTTCTAATTCCTGCTCCCTTAAGTTGTTGGACTAAATTGCCTATTTATTTTCTGTGTGGCAGGTTGGCTGATGTCACTTTTTTTTTCCTCACTACCTTTCCCTCCTCCTGCAGTAATACTCTGTTCATAAAGCTATGCGTATGCTAGAGAAGGGAAAGAGCAAACAGAAAAAGGAATCTGGTTAAACATTATAAATGTCACTTAAGTGAACTACATTTGCTTTTTCAGCCAAAATTTTTCTGATGATGCCCAAGTAATAAAATATTACTGAAACATGAGTAAATAACTTCAAATGAAATGTGAGTGTATAGATAAGCAAAAACATACTGAACTTTTTGTGTAGCATCTCTTAGCTCAGAAGATGACATCTGTTATCTAACTAATAAACAGAAAATGGGTTACAGTCTGCTTTGGTTTCAGAAAATGATTTACAGTGAAAGAAGATACTACTTTGTTTAGAATCTTTTCTAGTTGTTTACAGATTATTACCAAAAAATAATGAAGAATCACAATCAGCATCCGGTCTCATAGAGCTGCTTTTTTCTTGAAGCAAAATATTCAGCTAAGCCTGATTGGTACTGACAGGGCATGCAACATTATTTTTTTTTGCTTTGTGCAGGAGCTGGAAAGTGCATTGCCGGGCCTCTCAGAGTGGCAGGGGAAGGCTGGATCCTCAGCTAATGACTATGCACAGAATGTGGCTTTCAGATGCCAGGAAGCAGTCGTGAGATTTCAACCAAGGTAAGCCTTGGGATAAGACACTGCATTTCACTTCTGATTAACTGCAGGAAAGGCTAATTCATTTGCCGCCTTTAGTATAAAATATTCAGACTCCTGGCTCCCACTGGCAGTTGTATTCTCTATTTGTATGCCTAGAACTGTTTGGAGAAAGTGAAAGGGATGAAGATAAGAATGCAAATTTCATCATTCTTTAAACTCCTTACATTTTAAGTAGGAAGAACATTTTCAGTTCAGAAACTTAAATTCTTCTGTGCCAAGTTTCAAAAATATCTTGGCTCTTCTTTTCTTTTCCCCCCAGTGCTGACTTGCCTCACTCTTTCTCAGAGCTGTATTCTCACTGAGAAATGGGAACGGGAAGCTGCACACCTGAGTTTAGCATGGGCATGCATTTATGTATAGTTTAGACCCTGGGTGCTGTGGTAACTGTGCTTGTTCCAGTGCAGTGAAAGTTATGGGGTTTACAGGTCAGGTATTAGCTGAGTCTTGATGGCAATTACCTCAGCTGATCACAAAGTGACTCAGCGCTGGTAACTACTGGAAGTCACAGTTGCTTCTCTGATCCTTCATGGTTGTGCGAAGGTTAGAAACAGGGTTTCAGCTTGTCCATCTGCCCCAATCTACCAGTGAGGGTATGTCCTAAGGATAAGAATTAGCTCTTACTGACAGGCTTGCACTGTGTAAATAAGATCATGCTTTTCACAGTGATCAGTTTTTGGAGCACCACTTTACAAATTTCCCATGCTGAGGTGCTGATCTGGTCCCTCTTTGCCGTGCACATAGTTTTAAGCAGGTGAGTCACGTCTCTGCTCTTTGTTCTCTACCTCAAGGTGCAGGACAGCCTTGGTGCTGTGTGGCCAAAGCTCTGGCTCTCTTTGAAGGGACCAGAGCAGCAGCTGTGCATGCCAGGGGTGCTCAGTGGGTCAGGGCACAGCTGGTGGATGTACAGAGCTCTTTGCCTCCAAGGTCTGTTTCAAGTCAGGAGTAGGTTAGCAGTGACAGTTGCCATCCAATGGCAGTTTGGTGCTTTATGTGAAATGAACTGATTGCCTTCACCACAGCTGTTAGTAGGCAATGTTGTAAACAATATTAATTTGTGCTCTCAAAGGAAGCTTTAGCAGAATGACCAAGCATTTAATTAGCTTTCACAAAAAACTGCTTTCACCTTCCAATGCCTGTATCTGCAATTGAGACACTGCAAAGTCCTGCCTCTCAGTGTGTTTCTAATTAGCCCCAGTCTAGGAAGCTTGCCTGCTCTTTTTCTGGCATTCTTTACACTAGGAAAAAATCAGATGGATTTCTTGTAAAGAGGAACATAGTGAGTTTTGTGTTGGAGAGATAGACCTACCTAGTGGCTCTGCTGGTAGGAGGTCCGTGTATGGGTAGATAATGAAATAACATCGGTTAGTTTTGATTGATGAAAGGAACATGATGGAAGAAACATGGACATTAAGGATAAGAACCAGAGTGGAATGTGCATGAATAAAACAGGAATCACAGCAAAGTTCCCCTTTCAATTTCAACAGTTTGGCCTTTTTAACTTGCCTGGTACTAAACCATTGTTCACTATGCTGTTTATTCCTGTTTAAGACCAGGGTAGCTCCTTAGGAAGCCTGCTGTCCACAAGTTATAAATCTGTTAAATTATGGTACCTGTATTTACTAAGTGCTGTGAAAGCACAGTGATCAAATCTCAACTCCGGCTGCGCTTTAGTTTGATTATCTTACAACAAAACTCAAGTGAGTAACTTCAAATGTGGTATAAACAAGCACTAATGCCTGGTCCCTGGCCTCACACACACACTTTATTTACTTTAACTGTCTTAACTGTCATTGGAAAAAGCATTCCCACCACCCAGCTGGGGTGACTTTGAATTACATATGCTGAAGTTACCACTTTCAGTTTGAGGGTCACTATGTCTGGTAATTCCTCTTAAGGGTCTTGCCCCATCCCTCTGTCATCACTCAACTTTGACAGGGTCAGAGTAATAACGTGCCCATGTCTCAGCTCATGCAGAGGGCTGGCTGCTACATCAGCATCACAGAACTGGCTTTTGAACAGGCTGTGAAGCATAGCTGCCAGGGTATGACGTCTTGGCTTGTTTTCTGCCTTCTCTGCTATGGGACATGGCAAAGGTTAAGCATTCAGCCTGGGCAGCAGGCAACAATCATAGCTAGATTTTGACAAAACACATCTGCTAACCCCACAAAACTTGAGTTTCACTATCTTCCACCCTGGTTTTGCTAGGTTACTGGCAAAATTAGCAATGCTTTGGAACACTATATCTGCCTAGGATCCCTAACTCATAGACCAAAAGCTTTCTGGTCTTTTGGAGAAGAGATGGCCACACTGCTGCAGGGGTGCCACTGGGAAGGTTCCTCTGTCTATCAGATATGTGTGGGGAGGATAAGAGAAGAAAGATTTATTTCTGTCTCATACAAAGAAGTAAGGTTGATTATTTCTAGTGCGGCTTGTTGGTACTTCTGCTTAAATTTCATTTCTGCAGACTGCTATAGCTCTGTCATTAGTCTCTGTCAAAGTTCTAGATGCCTCTGAACTGTATAGCTTTCTTAAAAAAGTAGGTTCTAGTTAGTGTGAGGGAGCTAAAAACAGTATACATTTAATTTGTCTAAATACGAATTAAAAACTACTGAGATGAAAAACTTTTCAGTAAAGTCTCTATTAAGCAGAGTAATCTAAACTTGGGGTAATCTAACAAGGCATGTTCACAAAAAAATATGCATAAGTATGTGGTTGATTGTTTTTTGGGGGAGTACTTTAATTTTATGATAATCACTGAAACAATAAAAGAAAAGTTTTAGTGGGATTTGAGGGAAATGGAAGAATAGACTTGTTGAAGAGGTTTACAGTCAGAAGAATAAGAGAATACGGTCTTGTTCTTGGCTAAGCTATACCTGACCTGCAAATCAAGGATTTTAATTTCAAGAGGCGTTCATCATGCATTATTTATGAACATCAGCCTCATTTTAGAATATGAAATGCCATCTACATGGAAGGAAACCTTTACATTTTATAACAAGAACACCAATTTCTAATACTATTGCTAGTGATTACATTGAATCCTGCTCTAGCCATTGTGTGTAGTTGGGTTTGGATAAAAGTCTAATATAATATGCACCTTTGGGAGATAAAAGTTATATGCAGGCCTCAGGAACAAATGTTACAATAAAGAGAATTGCCTTTTTTAACCGAGAATAGGAAAGCCAGTATGGAACAATATATATGATTGCAAAAAGCTGCTCTTACCGATTGCCCTCTCAAAGGCAATCAGCAAAACTGATGTGGATTGCAGAGCTGGGTGTGCTGGTACCTGAACAGAGGATGGTGTTTTCTTCAGATGCCTGTTATATAGAAAAGGGGGTGAAATGTGGGATTCCTGGGCAGTGGGAATGTCAGTGTTTCCCAGAAGGTTGCATTCCAAGTAAGTGTGGGAACTACACTTTGGGGTTAAGTTTTGTGCAAAAAAAAAAAAAAATCCCTAAAAGTTCCCCCTCTTCTCCATTCCCCAAATAAAATAGGAGTGGAGTGATTTTATTTAGTAGGACTCAGCTGGTGGGCCCTGTGTTGGGCCCTAATTTCTGCAGAGGGTGGCAGTTGCTATCAGACTTATGGATGTTCTGCAGGAAAACTGGAAATGCTGGGAACCCTGGGCTGCCCTGGACCTTGGGCTCAACCAGAGTCTCCAAGGTTTCTGTGCTCCCCTGAGGGAGACCAAGTTCTAGTGAGGCTTTCAGCATTTGTGTTTTCAAGCTTCTGAGAGTACAGTTGAGGTGGGGACTCTGGTAGTTTCCGTGCTTTCTGCTGAATAGCTACAAACCAGGGATATGTGGGAGGGAGCAGGGAAGCTGCAGAAGTGCTCATGTCCCCATGCTATATGGTGTGGGCCTGCATGGGTGAGGCAAAGCTTGTGAGGCTGCCTTCCCACAGAGGTGGCCAGGTGACCAAGGAGAGAACTTGGCCAGATTCCCTCCGAGTCCTCCCTCAGACCTGGTAAAAGTTCGTTGTGACCAATACGTGTCTGCAAAGCAAATAGCTCTCTGTCAGCAGATCAGGGTTTACTGATGAAACATTGCTTTGCTGGGAAATGATGGACCAGTTCCCAAACACAGCTTCTTCAGGAATTTTGATGTTAAGATATTGATGTTTATGGTTCCAGTGATACTTCTTGTATCAAGGCATGGAAAGTGCCCGAGCAAGCTCTTGGGTTGCAATATACTTAGAGAAAGGAAAAAAAAAAAACAAACCCAACAAAAAAACCATCAGGGGTGGAGAGAGGAGAGAGGGGCAAAAAACCCATAGCATCTTAATATAGCCCAAGTAAGGACTGTGCCTGGGGAGCACGAGAGGCACTCATGATTAGAAAAACAAGTGCAGTTGTCCACAGCCAGCCTTTATGCAACTGCTGTGATTGATGAGCCAGGCACTGCTACCCTGGCTCTGTCTGGCTGCTTAGTCCAGCAGTCAGGGACTGCCCAAGCAGTAGCCTAGGATGTATCCCAACATCTTTGGGCCCTTATTCTTTCACTGCAAGTGTGTCCTTTATGTCCATCCAGAAGCCTGTTGTAGTTCTGTATTGCTTTGTAGGGAGTCATGGGCATGCTTTTGAAACATTCACCTACAGCCCTGTGTTACGGTGGTGACTATGCTTGAATTTCATTATGTTTTTTTGCCATTTGTGGAGGTCTCAGAAAGGTCATTTTTGTTTTCCTGGCACTGAGGTGTGTTGGTTGAGGTGTGGGGGGTCTGCCTTTCTGTGAACTCATGTGATGTAACCTCTGGATAGGCTGAATCAGTCCTCTGATGTGGTACCAAAAATGCCCTTTCTGAGCTGTTAACCTAGTAGGCCACCCTCACAGTAGAAAGGGTAAAACCAATTGCCAGAATGGAGACAGGGAAGGAGAATTGGGCCAAGATAGACTGAAAGTGAGTCTGGAAAAGGTGTTTCATCCCACAGCATCCTGGTTTGCTTACCAGGATTTATCCTGGCATCACTAATACATAAACTGGCCCAAGACACATCATGTGTGGCATGGTGGTGCACAAACATATAAGTCTCCTGAGGATGGGGTTAGTGTAATCCAGGGTTGGACTGTTGCAAGCTACAGAAAGTAATGCTCCTTTCTGGGTTTAGTCTGGGAAAAGAGAAGTGAATTTGCTTAGGTTATCTTCATTTTTCCTATTTTTTAAATTTATGTGGTCTTATTTGAATTTTATGCCAGTTTAGAACTGATATCATGCATAATTCAATAATTCACATGTTCTGGTCTGTTTTTAAACAGCTCACTGTTCATGCAAATTGCTCTTCCCCTTGAAGTCTGGTAGGAGCTCTGTTATGATAATTAGCATTTAATTTTTTTTTATTATATTTTTTTTTAATGTCCACGAACTTCAAATTTACATGTTAATGGGTTGCATCTTTGTCATCTGTGCCATGCGGAAGAGGATAATTCTGCCAAAGCCTGAGTTGCCAGTCTATAGGGAGCGTAGAGGGATCAGGCCTTTTGTATTTTATAAAGAATGATATAACATATATTTGAGTAATAGCCACAGAGAGAATTCCATTTTCATTATTTCACGTGATGTACATTATACAAAATAAGGGTTGCCTGCTATTATTCAAAATTTCAGCTAAGGCCTAAAATAATTTTAATGTACTCATCACAGACAGAAAATTAGGGCTCATTCCTGCTGCTTTTGAAGTTAATGGATATTTTGTGATTGACTTTTAATGAGAATAGGATCCAACTCATCGTTATTAAATTGTAAGCCCTTTGTTGCCTGGTGACAATCAGATAACCTGCATTTGCCTAGCAGAGCAGTTAATCTTGGTGAAAACAAAAAAGCACACCCCAAAACTCTCTATATAGAGTAAGTTCAGCTCAGCATACATCCATGACTGCTAATGTAAATGGTCTTCACACAAAAATGGTTATTCACCTTAATGATTTCAGTATCCCAGAATCCAAAGAATGCAAAGCTAAGAGCATCTTACTCTAGTATTTTCAGTGAAAAAGGAACCTTAAAATGCAATACTTCTGAATCCCTAAAACAGCAGACAAGAGCATCATCCTGAATGACAGAGAGGTCATACTTCAGGGGTGCTGTAAACATTTTACTCTCCAAAGTGCAAGACTTCCGAGTGATGCAGCTGCGAATTATGTAGAACTTTGTGTTGCACCTGTAAGAACTGCTGGTTCTTACCTAAACCTAAACTTGTATTTAGGTTTTTGTGTTGGTTTTTAGTTTTTTGTTTTGGTTGGGTTTTTTTTAAGGAGAGTTCACATTTGCTGTGTGTTACTTATCCTGAAAGTAATCATCCAAACAAGTACCAGAAGTGTATGAATCTGACATGTGTCCTTTTCTTCCTTTCCTTTATGTCTAGCTCTAGATCAATGCAACAGATCACTCTAAATATTTTTTCTTAATTAGTGAATTAATTCTTCATTTGTTTGTAGCCTTTCAGATCCTTCCTTACATGTTATTAATCCAAACTATAAATATTTTATTCTTTCATAATAAAGTAGGTCTTTAAATGCCTCATAAATCTATGAAGAACTAGATAAAAGGCCTAAGGATCTGTCTGTACTGTTTTGGAGGTCTCTAGAGACTTTTAAATCTATTTGGTTTTGCTTGGATTACTCTGAGCTGATAGGTTGAAGAATATGAATTCTCTTGTCCAAAGAAATCTGGGTTTTGTGTTAGTTTTGATCACGTCTGTGAGTGAGTCTCACAGGGGCCAGCAAACATCGCCAGCTTTTCAGCACTGAGAGAGAAATCTCATTCTCTAAGACAGCAATAGTTTTCTTGCTTCAGCTGAGTTGCGAGTCAACTTGTGATAGACTTATGTCAGGGTTTGAAACTGAGCGCAGAAAGCCTCTGTTTGCCTTGGGGAAGGCAGAGCTGTAGTATGAGGCTATTCAGGTTGCTCATCCAATCTACGGGAGGTTCTTGTTAGGCTTCAGTTTCATTCCTTGGTAGAGTGAATTTGTAAGCTGGTAGGTGGGTGTGTGGAGCCCTAAGCCATGACCACATCTGCCTGGATAGGGCACAGTTGTCTCATTAGCTATAGCCAAAGAGAAGATATTTTCCCCTTGTTAGTCCAGGACCTTCCTTTCCTATTTCCGTGTGAAAAAGCAGTGATACGCTGAGGTAAAACCAAAGGTATGGACACCTCTGATGGCTGTAAAGTGACACTCTTTAAAAAATGTGGAAATGCCTCTTACTCAAAGGATTTCCAGCTGCTCGTGAGAGTCCCTTGAGTCTTTCTGAAATTCACAAAACAGAACTGAAGCAGAAAGTTGAAGATTGGGATCCTGGAATACCATCAAGTTTAAATATGGAAAGATTTATTCTTTATGGCTCCGATACAGGAAAACTCTTGTTCCTGACTTAAAGCATGTGGGACAAATTGTGCTTAGGTTTAAACATATGTTTGAGCTTTTTCTTGGCTTTAACCCTATTAGCTCACCAAGATACTGAGAGCTAATCATGTTTCTGTGATGACTTTGTTTCTGTGTGACAGGGTGAACCTGGATTTTAATGTCATAGTTTCCAGGGCCTCATTCACAGTTTAGATATATTATTTAGGGTTCCAATAAAATCATTGTTGTTTTGAATGAGATATAAAATACAGATGTAACTTTCATAGAAATGTTATTTTTTTTAATAAAACAACTTTATCCTCTACCTTGTAATTTATGTACAGACATGACGAAAAGTTTGAAATATTTGCAGCACGAATAAGCAATCCACTGAGTGAAAATTCTTGTTTTGTTTTGTAGAATAGATCAGAACACATGCATTTCACCAAAAGAAGCAGCTGATCAATTTAACAGCTTAAATGAGGTAAGCTTAACCAAAAGTTGAAATATGATGTTACAAATTTTGAATTAGATGTTTGTTTTTTTGTTAATTCTAAGGTCTTGGAATAATGTAGTCACTTGAGAATCTTTGGTTAGCTTTTTAATGAACCATTCTAGTCATGTTTTTGGAGAAAAGCTTAAAAATGTGATACGAGACTGCTATAATATTTTGAAAGACAAAAGCAAGAGATTTTAAAAATATTTTAAGCCAACTTTATGCTGCTTTCTGTTTGTGCACAGAAAAGAATTAAACACTCACTATTGACTGAGTTAAATGCCATCTTTTAAGAACATTTGATTTTTTCCTCATATTACAGCTCAAATGTGTTCAGCTATCAATGATGTTTTGTTTAAAAATGAGTTCTCAAGTTTCCTACATCCTGCATAAATAAACTATGAGCAGCGCAGTGCAGTTTAAAAGGTACTCTTGTAAGATGGGAGGAGGGGAGTGTTAGAGTGAAGAGAGGAAGCAAAAAAAAAAAGCCAAATAACACCTGTGCCACTTGAAACAAGAAACAAGAACTGTTTTCACAGGGGTTGTGGCAGGAGGATGGTGTGAGAGTAGAGCACAAAGAAGCTGCTTGTGTGATATGTCAAACAATGGCTGAGCCTGGGCTAGATTCCCACATGGAGGCCAAAAACAAGCTTTGTGATTATTCCAAGTGGGAAACCTTATACGGCATCTCTCACAAACACGGGTATCTCCATACTAGCACAGAGTATGCTTACATGCTGCAAGAGCAGTGAACAATACTGGACTTAAACAACAAGCAGACAATATTTTTAAGCGTAGACCAAGACAACAGAACAGCAGAAGCAGGGGGAGAAAAAAACTGGGAGGAAGGGAAGCCCAGTCCTGTCCAACCATGTTAAAAACAGCTTTGTTTCCATAATGAGCCAGAGAACATCTATGTCTATTAATAGATGCCTGCCTTTCATTAGGGGAAAACCACAATATGTCCTTTTAAAGGAATTCAGACTTAATCTTCTCCTTACAATGAATTATTTCCTGTGCATTTGTGTCATTGTTGTGCAGCTCACTGTTGAAAATCCCAATGCTGACTAGTAAGGCACATTCCACAACTGATATAAGGGAATATATTCAGTCTCTGTCTAGCCAATTAAGGCCCTGGGAGAAAGCATTGGATTGTTGTTTCTTTTGAGAAGCCCCATTGCAAAGAATCACCAAAGCTTCCACTTGAAAACTTCCATTTAAAATTCTTTCAAAGATTTCCTTAAAGGGTAAGATAAAATATTATAATAAGTGAAATCAGTGTAAGATATTAAAACAGATAATTAGATCAGAAATTAAAATAAATTGCTGATAATTTATGGGGAATGTGTCAGGGTTACATTCTGGTGCCTCCTTTTGCAAACTCTCAGATTGTACTGTATCTCAGGTCTACTGCAAACCCAAATGGACATGTGTCATAAGAAAATAAATTCCCTTCTTGGATTAGAGGAAGTGGTGTCTCTCCTCACTGCTCACCCACGCCATTATGCAGACCCAGGGCATATCTTGTTCTATCTTATTGTTGCTTGTTTGTTCCCCACAAAGGAAATTCTGAATTGAAAATGTCATACGCCTCAAGACACAAATATTGCCATTACAGATACTGCAGAGATTTATTTATGTTCACATAAAATATGACTATCTTATTTTAACCTGAACTCTCAAATTAAAAAGCAGGGGAGATGCTTTTATACGTCACTGTTTGAATGTAACATATAAAAGCATTAATTTCCTTAGAGTGAAGAAATTGAACAGGTTGATATTTGCTCAGTTTCTTTTCTATATGAGTCACTTCAAAGGCCATTAAATACTCAAAGCTTGGATTATTCTCCTCCTCTGCCGCAGCTGGTTTCATAAATTCAGTAAATCCATCGATAAACTGAATATAATAGAATAGCTGCTTTCCTGTCCTGCAGGGACAGGAGCAGGCCCACGGGCAGGGTGCAGGCATCCTTAATATTCAGAAACCCTGTGTGTGGGGCAGGGTGGTTCCAGTTTATGCAGAAAACGCCGAGTCTGGGCTTTGCCTCTCCTCCCTTCTCCCTATCAGCCTCCAGCCTGAGACCAGGCAGGGTCCATGGTTGGGGCAGACCTATTCCCTTACCCTCTTTCCTCAGTTCTTAAAATTTACCAGGCCTTAGGACACCCACAAGGATGAAACAAAGGATGCTGATAACAGTAATGCTTTTTGAGGGAGAGAAATTCTAACAGCAGTGGCTCTCTCATCAGCAGGTTTGACAGTGCTGTAGCACTTGGTGCAATAGGGAGGGCACAGGGCAGAGAGGCTCCCCTTGGCACATTGTGTCCCATTGGTCTACGGCCCCCTGGACGTGCTGCCAGCTAGACACATGGGCTAGATCCTGCAGGGCTCCATGCTGCAGCCTCCAAGGAGTAACTTATGACACCTACTGGGAAAAAGTTTATAAGGTATTTCAGGGGACCCCTACTCATTGCCACAGCGTTTTGGTGATAAATGGGGAGTATTTGTTCATTCAGCGTCCCATTCTCCAGAGGGATTTAGCAGTGTGAGTGTAGGTGTGGGGTATTTGTCTCCAGATGTAAGAAGTTATTTCTCTATGGCCTCAGCTCTTGATTTTCAACGATTGTTGGATGAAATGAGAGATGGTTAGTAAGGTACAGTCTACAGGCTTACTCATTTGTAAAGATGGTTTCTTTGCTACAGCCTGAGCTTTCTCTGCAAATGGCAATCCTTTTGTACTGTGTTTGCTCAAGCGGGCAAGAGTTTGATACTTTAATGACTGTGTTTTGATAAAGCACTAGCAAAAATTACAAATAAGAGAGAAATACCACACTGTCTCTCTGTTTTCCTCAGACTTCCTGTAAACATCTTTATTTTTCCATTATCTTCAACCTGGAATAATGAAGGAAGTTTTTTCTTCTTCTAATGGAATTGGCATAGCTCAAGTTCTTTGAATCATCAGTTACTTTAAGAGTACATAAGAAGAGATAAGAAAACTTTATCCAAGACAATTATAATTGCTTCTTTTTTTAAACTTGCAAAATGCTATTCTTCAGATGCATCAATATGGCTATTTTTCCAAAGAAGCTTAAGGATCCATTTTAAATATTAATATGTCATTTCATTTTCATTAGCATGGGTCAGGAACTACTGCATCAGAAACACTGGCATCAGGCTCCAGAGTAAAGCTGGAATGAGCATCAAATCTGAAGTGTTTAAACTGAGATCATTAGCTGATATAATATGCCATAGCTCAAATTACTTCAGTGATACTAGTTTCCCATACAAGGCTTACTAAAATTTATGATGGTACCCACCATGATCTAAAATTTTCATCTCTGTGTATTTTAGCTGTTTGTATTTGCTTCTTTTTTGCAAAAAAGCAAAGCTGCAAAAAGTTGCAAAAAGAAGTTTTGCAACTTCTTTTAAATGGCCAAGAGCACGGACTGGCCCAGTTGGGCCCCAGGGGCAGGTCTGGACCATGAGAGATTTTAAGTAGCATGTGCACAGGCTGGTTCTACTCCAGATGAGATGTGTGGCTGACTGTGTGCAGTGCAGAGGAGTGCACATCCCCACCACTATGGCAGGATGCCTGCAGTCACGTCATGGCTGTACAGCTACTGGAAAGTTTTGGAGAATTAAGGGGAAGTTGGAAGTGGTCAATAAGATTTCAAATTAACTTGGGAGGTTTGAGAAGATGAAGACAGGGCTCAGACTTTATTTTTCTCTCTTCTTGCCTTCCTTTTGCTGGCAGTTGGTATCATGTTGGGCTACCCAAGGATAGAAGACACACTGCCAGTGGCTGATATATATGGCCGTGTGCCCTCCCGGAGCACCTTGCTGCTCTCTGCTTGGGCTGCAGCTGCAGAAACAGGGGGCCTTGCTGCTCCTGCCACAGAGCATGAGGTCCAAGGCTGGCAGCATTCAGCCCGGCTGCTCTGGCATTGCTATACTTCAAGCAGCTCTCTGAGAGGGGCAGGACATAACACGCTGCAGGGCCAACAGCAAGGTCATCCCTACCATTTACTAGGATGTTCCAGTTGCCCATGAGTTGGCAACCCTGGGCAGCTTTGTGGTTGCCCTTTGCTTACTGCTGTGTCTCCTTAGATGTGTTTCCATAAATATGTGGTGGCTTTTCACGTGTAGTGCCCTGTGGCAGTGCCAGATGAGGTTGATGGCATACTGCAGATCATCATCTCCCTGGTAACATCTAAATGATCAAAGCTACTTACTCTTTTTCTCCCTACACCAAATCCCTGTCAAGGGCACGTTCATGAAATCATGTAAGGTATTTCTATTATTATTATTATTATTGTTATATGAAATTTTACTATTTGGCAGTGACTGGAAATTTGCCATCCACCCACCTTCCACAGATGGGTGAAAAATATCATTTAGAGCAAGTGAATACAAACCGCCCGGTGAATTACAGCATAAGCATTGCCGAAATACAATGTTTAACAATGTAGTCTGTCTGAATGCCTTTATCCTGAACTTGCCATAAATATTAATGTATCATAAGAAATAATGAAAAGTGAATGTATTTTCTTGATATGGAAATATTTTTGTCAAATGCTTGAAGTAACAGTCTGTGAAGGTTGGGTATATTTGTCAGTTCTTCGCCTATGTTCATCTTGTTGGTATGTTCTTCTGGTATGTTTGCTGATGTTTTCCTTTACTTGCCATCAGCAGTTCTCATGATAAGGCCTGGGCTGAGGTCAGAGTCTTCACTGGTCTGTTACTGGTATAGTCATCTTTTACCAGATTACTTTAATGACTGTGAAAAGCTGCCTGTCTGTTGTGGTAATTCCACAGCCACTTCATTTGGGCCCTAGCTGTGGTGAGAGGCAGTGGAAAATGAGGCCTGTCATGTCATGAAAACTCTTCCCAAAAGAGTGCCATGGGTACAATGGAAGTCAGCACCCTTCCCTTGCCAAGGAAAACTCACTGCCACTTTAAAGCTGTTGAAGGTGAGACGATTTCCATCATTCTGTCTTGAATTCAAGAAAGACCCATAGAGGATTAAAGGCAACTTTGCATCATAAAAGATGCTCAAATGGATGGTAAGAAGTCTACTAAATACACCAAAAGCAAGAAGCCAAGTAGGGTATTTCTGGGACTGCTGGCTGACTGACATGTGAAATGGGCACTAAGGTGTAAACACAGAGGCTGAGTGAATTGGTTATATTGGTCTTTGCTGATAAAGCCCATGACAAGTGACAAGGAAAAGATGCCAGTCATTCAAGAGTCCCTGGAGAAACTGAGGTGTAAAGACGAGGGACTGTTGGTCAAAACGGGTAAATTATCTTTAGAAATGGCATCTGGGAGAGAGGATGGGAGGTTGTTAATGGCAACCTGTACCTGGGAATAGTAGAACTATCTTCTGCCTCAGATCATAGAAACCAGCTCTATATTGTGCCATAGTTTTAAAGAATAGTATTACATTTAGGCATTTCATTATGAATCAGTGCTTGATCTTGCAATCACTTCTTTCCTGATATTTTAGGATGAGATGAAAAAATTTATTTTGACAAGAGATGTGAGGAACTTAATTCTTATATAAAAGTATAACACAAGCCACTTCTTTGCTCACATCTCTAATATCAAGCTGTTTCTGATAGGAATGGCCAGACCTCCTGTTCTCTCTGGGACTAGGAGAAGGAAGGTGTTCCTGGATTTCCTTTTTGACCTAAGCTGAGGCCAAAGTCCAAGTGTTTGATTGTAGCCTCATCAGTTTTGTGGAAGGGGACATATTTTGAAGCACTCCTGACAGCACATACTAGTTATAGTGATCTTGTGCGTTTTTGGAACTTCCTTATTTTGAGCTGTCTCCTGGAAAGAGCTACTTTCTGCTCCCTTTTCACTGCCTGAATTCTATAAAAGGAATGAAAGGATTAAGGCTGAAATCTTCTCTGCTGTTCTCAGCCAAATTGGTTTCCTTTTTATTTTTTTATTTATTTTTTTACCTAAAAACACTGGAATCTTTGACTTTATAAAAGGGCTGTATTACAGCAAAAATAATGCAAAGACATATTGAAATACTCTGTTACATAATGGAAATTATTCCAATAAATAAATTCATTATGTCATTAAATGAGTCAATAAATTGTTTCCAGGTTTTTAACAGAGTGGGGAAAGGAGCTTTTCAGGGTACAAACTTTCTATTGCAACGCAGATGTTTTTTCAGAAATTGCTCTTCACAAGTATGTAGCATTTGAGTGACTTAACATTTTACATATATTTTTGTGTGTGCCAGCTGTGTGATTATTAAGACAGCCTTGTGTGATTTTATTTGATGTTGCAAGCTGTATTTCCCTTGAGAGAGGGGAACTGGATGCGTAGGGTATCAGTAGTGACTCACTTTGCCCAGTCAGATGGTGATTAGGGCTTTCACAGCATTTACATCACAGCAAGATGCTTGTGTCAGATTGTACAGCTGAATATTGCACGCAGCATTAAAGATTAAAATGAGAAATGGACCAAGCATGACAGAGTAGCTGGAAGTGATATTATAGATAACTACCCTTGTCCTCATTGATTTGTCTGCAGCAAGCGACAATGATCTGTTAATTTTATCTTTGCTGTGGACAGGAAATTATCTGGTTGCTCTGTAGAAGCAGCAGCAGCCTACGTAAAAGCTATGTCTACATAAAAAAGTACCTCTAAAAAAGCCAATTAAAAAATATTTCTTCCAAGAATCCCACGAGGGAGCGTGTTCTCAGTAACTCTTTGTTCACTGCTGTGTACTGCACAATAGGCTGGAGAGGGAGATTTGTTTTTTTATGAATGGTAAATGGGGAGGGACATAATGTCATCAGATTGTGATGTCAGCCCAATGAATGAAGTACTTGCTTAGTGTATTGCTTCAAGACCAAGAAAAGGGACACCATCTCAGTTTGGCTTCCTAGAATAAATCGCCTTTTGCTGACGAAGTAATCTTTCCCACGTGTCATGAATAATCTATGTAAATTGGGGCTTAAATAACCAGAAGTCAAGAAACTCGTGGAATAGTGCACGTTTGTTCTCTTGCACATCCTTTCAGAGCTGCCAGTGGAACACCCCTTTGCAGGCGCTGCTCATGGGCTCCGTGAGTTGAAGAGCTCTCGCTGTGCTCTGCTGTTCTCTATCTAGCCCAATGTTCTGCTTTTGTCTGCAGAATTCTTTGTTGAAGCTGCAAGCCCTCGAAACCGATCTGTGCTCTGCGTTTCTGCCAACCCAGGAGGAGACTCCTCAGCTGCCGGCACCCAAGGATCCAGCCCCTTCATCAGTCCAAACCAGCGCGCAAGCTGATGGGGCCAGCTGTGGAGGTAAGCGATTGTGTCGTGATGTGTTCTCATTTGCAATTATAAAAAAGCCTTGTGACTTGCAGTTTAATACCAGGTTTGCAGTCCTCTGGGAAACACTGCAGAGCTAATGCAAAGCACCGTTTCCCGATGCAAATGCTGTGTAATGTAAAAAGGGGTGTGATACCTGCTAAAAGAACTGGAATTAATGGCTATAATGTTTTGTTTTTCTGAGAGGGAGTCTTGCTTTTCAGTCAGGTTTTAAGAATCCTGATTCTTTTATTTTTAGTTTTAATCCGTTGGCTTTTTGTACAAGTAAATTTATGTTCTTTACTTCCTATGTCTGTATTGTGTGAGATCACCTGCCATATCATGTAATTCTATTTTTGTCATTCTTTTTGTCAGAGCAATATCACTTCATTTCTCCTATTATTGATTTTAATTTAATGCATCAGCAGAGAGATAGTGAAGGTGAGTTTTGCAGCATGTGGATTTTAATCATTCATGAACCTGTATAATTACCCATCTGGGCAAGCTGTGGTGTGTTATCTCTCCCTCTTTCCTCAATATGGAAACCAGTCCTTGCAAATAAATAGCCCTAAGGCTCGGCACTGTTTTTGTCAATTCATAGCTTGTAGTCACAGGGCTGGCAGAGTCGTGATGCTCAGTACAAGAGGAATCACTCTTTGTGAAAAATAGGTCAAAGGCAATATGACTAATACATCTCACAGACAAGTGACACGAATACACAAATACTTAAATCGTTCACCATGTATGGTCCAAATTAAAGCAGATAGGTCAGTAACCCCTTTGCAATTGTCAGAATAAAGGGTGGGTTCAGAAGAATTTATTTCAGAAGCTGTTTGCTCGGAATTTTCAGCAAGAAATCACAGTAAGCTATTTACCTAAAAAAATCTCAAATTACAGTGTTCTACTTAAGAAAATCTAAAGTTTGAGGTTTACATTGAACAATTAAGGAAAATGGTATGTAGAATCCAAATTACTATAATGATGAAGCTATATAAAGAATACTAAATATCCTGGGTTTTAGCTTAAAATGGATGCTATAGCCTAGCTAGGCAAATACGTTAGTAGCTCTTGGATACAGGTATGGAACTTGTACTGGTGCTAGTCCCCTGGTGTGGATTTGAGGCAGAGACAGATCTCATACCTGTGCTGCACAGGCAGAGACATTTTGCAGCCCACCCAAAATCTGCACTAGCTCTTCTCCTTTATGGCAGGGTGGGGTTTTCCTCCTTTTCAAGTAGTTTACTGAATTATTTTATTTTGGTAGTTTCATAATCCATTGTTAGGTTGGTTCATAATTGTTTATTCTGCTTATTTTTTCTGTTTTGATTGGATTTTTAATTCATACTGTTAGTGATGATACCATCTCTAGCTCCGATTTGCCTGCCTTCAGCTACACAGGCAAATATTGCATGATGTAGCATTTCTCTCAGGCAGTTCAGAGCATGCTCTGTCACTGTAGCCATTCTAACTTCTGCTTTAATTAAAACTTACCTATTTAATGGATTTTAATGTATGCTCATTTCTGTGAACAACTGCTTTGCGGTTTGTGGGGTTTTTTTAATAACTTACCATTTTGCATAGATAGAGCTAGGCTTAATTTTAGCTCTTAAGCTACAACTGAAATCTTCTGGTACATTCAGTTTAGTTACAGTTGTCATATAGGACTACTGGCTATTTCAGGTCAAGCTTGGATGGAAGTGCAGAGATTTGTACCAGGAACAGAGTTTTTAGAAGATGTGACTTATATACTATGTCTCTAGTTATTAGCCTTTGCTCAGTGAATCAGGCTATAAAAATTTATACATTAACGGTGTACAAATGTATTATTTTAAAAATAAGCATGATTGTGTAGTCTATTTAATGTCTTTTGTTTCACATCCTGATCAACAAAAATTTTTAAAAAATACATTATGTGTATGGTGAGTGAAGCTAGAACAGCCTAGTAAAATGACAGGGTATTTCAGGATGCAATTTTAAAGGGGTGAATAGCAGTTATTATCTCTGAGCAAAGTCAGAGATTTCCAGTTTACTTTTGAATATGAAGAAACTTGAATTAGAGCTGGCAAAATGAGACCGTAAAGAATTGCAAGGAGGTATTAAGCTAGTTTTTTAAGGGAAAAAAAGAAAAGTAGCATGTGAGTTATTTTTATAGCTTTTAGATATGAGTATACATCAAATATATGACTTGAGCAGTGGGCAGCTGAACTTAGCTACAAGAGGTTCTAAATGTCTTTTAAATTAAAAATTGTGATACTGGTATTCACAGACATAACATGTTGAGGGACAAACACATTACCTCTGCACATTCTTTTTTATTTTTTCTGTATACAACACATTTCAGTGTATTATTATTTTACTTAAAGAATATCACATGCAGGAATGCAGACTTCTACCATGTGACTTGTTATATGATCGAAGTCCACAACGTGGAGCATACTGCATGTTACAAGGTACTAGATTTTGGCTTTAGGTCCCGTGGTAAGCTCTTGTCAGTGCGAAGCTGGACTGAGAAGATGAGATGAGGGAGATGCAGGCCAAGGGGCAACTTACTGGTTTGGCCAGAGGTGGCTTTAGTTCCTAGTTTTGGCAAAAATAGAGGCTAAAATTAGATCAGACACGTGAACACAGGTAGGTGTTTGGTCAGTTCAGGGGCTACTCTCAGGATAATGCTTAGTGTCTTGTTTAGGATCTACGCAGAACTAGAATCAATATGATGGCCCTAATTTGTAATTAAAAATGGGGTTGGTTACAACTTGTCATCATCCTGAGATGTTCTGCTCTTATAGTATTTGAGCCATGTAAATGAGTTGGTTGGAATGATTTGCTGACCACTTCTGGACAGTAGGTAGTAATTTAATGCATCACTGGTAGGATTGGGGCTAAAACCTTTCTTGGGGCACTCACAAAGTTGCACCACTTGGAGAGCTTTAGTGGAACAATGCTGTCAGGAAGCCCTGGTGGCAAGGAAATGGAAGAACACTGGCCTCTGGGAAATTTCCCAAATTCACCTGGCATGCAGCTTGCCTCCCTTTCATTTGCTAGCTGAATAAAAAACCTCCACGAACTCTCTGCCATTCTCTGTGTTTGGTTTTACACTGGAGCTGCTCCAGCCACTACTTGTCCTTTACATTTATCTTCCAGGAGTGTTTAGTCTCAAATGTGTACTTTCTTTCCATTTCTGGGGCTGGATAGGGCCTAGTAAAATTGCCTGGTCGTAATGTGAAAAGGAGCAATTGTCTGTGACCATACACTGTATCAGCAGTACAGACTGCCTCCTGCAAGAGGCAGGTACTTCTAGGTCCAGAGAATATCAGAGTTCAAATGTTGGAAACTTTTCTCCTGCATCTATCATACACAGACTGGCTAATTGTTTTTTATAATATCATTTTCCTTACACGGTGAAGAGACTGCTACTTAACAGGACTATAAAATTTTATTCCTTTTAATAAGAGCACAATAACTAGTGAAACTATGCTTAGTCAGCCTGCGTCACAGGGATTATGTTTCTTTAAGTTCAAAGATAGTGAAATAAAAGTTTCTTCTCATTGATATTCAGAAGTTAAAAACAATCCCAAACCCAACCAAACTAATTTATTTTTTTTTTAAAGTCTTATACGGTAAGAAAAGATTACTTTCCAGAAAGAGACAACACTTTTGTTTGCAGCACAATATTTGTTCCAGCCTTTGTCACTATATGTTGTCTGTGTATGTAATTTCCTGGGGCAGGTATGATGCTCTACTCTTGCTTCTCCCAGATGCCTTTCTGGATCTCTCTGTTGGAGGATTTGAATCTCATACACGATTTAGAACTTTTGGGTGCTGCTCTGATTTCTTGTAGAGTTGAATTTGACCTAGAGTATGAAATACTTAGAGGAAAGATGCTAGGTTAGAATTAATAATCAACTACATTATCTCATTGTGAAAATGGTTAATTATAAGTGATGGTGTTGTTAGAGTAGATGAACTTATAGATACAAAAGTCATGTAACTTTTGCATGACAGGCTGAACTGTGATTATACGATATACAATTGGATTTTTTGTTGTCTGTAAAGCAAAAGCAGTTGGATAGTGCCTGATAAAATGATATTTTAGGCCATTGGAATTATCATTTTTGAAATCAATAGTTGCTTTCTGTGAAGGGTGCCATTCAGATCTGGTTTCTCCCCACTGTCCCAGTGCAGCAATTGGGATTTGTACCTTCAGTATCTGTTGGGCAGAGGCCAAACAAAATGTATTACAAAGGTTCCATTAAAATCCTGAAGGAAATACCCACTTACCATGGGAATATTATGCCCCTTGTGCAAAGGAGAAAATGGAAAGAAGAGTCCTCCAAGTAGCAGTCACTGCACACTGCCTTCAAGAACTTCTTTGAAAGCTATTGATTGTGGTTGCTGCTTTCACATCTTGTGTTCTGTAGACCCATGTGTATGTTACTTCACACCTCAATGAAATTCTGCAGGATACTGCAAGCAACAGTGGAGGCTCTTAGCATCAGGACATATTATATTTTTGATCTGCCTTTCTCTTGACTGAAGGACTAAGTGCTAAATCACAAAATTAAACTTGCTCATTCATTTTCTTCTTCTGGAACGTGGCTTTCAAAAGCAAACAGTTCTATGAAGATGTAATTAATGCTACTACTCTGGGAAACTCTCCATCTTTATATTATACTTCATAGTTTACAAACACACTCACCCACCTTCTCCTGTGATACTCAAAAATGCTTTATATAAAGCCAATAACTAAATATAAAGATGTTTTCTCATCCTCAGTATTATGCTCATCCTGCATGTGATACTTTGCTGAACTATTTGCTGTTTACTTTGAATAGTTATGCTTTCAATACTTGTTTAAGTATAGATTTGTATTTATCTAGGTAGCTAAATACCTTGTGAGTGGCCCTCAGTCCTTATTGGTTTCTGCTTTTGTTTCTAGAGCCTGTGCCAGCCCACAGGGACTGGCAGAATGACATGGAGAGCAGCCCGCAAGAACATCACCCCCTTGGGACCAGTCGACTGCTGTATCACATTACGGATGGAGACAACCCTCTCTTGTCACCACGCTGCTCTATCTTTAGCCAAAGCCAGAGATTTAATCTAGACACAGAGTCTGCCCCTTCTCCACCAAGTGCTCAGCCTTTCATGATGTAAGGAAATATTTTAATTCTATATTTTAAATATTTTTGTACAATCCATGGTCTTTGACTCCTAATGGTTTGGTTTTTTTTCAGTTACTGTTATGTCATAAACAAGAAATTTTCACATTGTCCCATGTTTTGACATGGTTATTTTTCAATACCAGAAATAGGATCTAGCATGTTATTTTTTCAGTAATAACACAGTATGAGATTGTTTGAAGTCTTTGTTAATTATAGTTAGCAAGAACAGTTTAAAATGTTAGTTAATAATTAGTCTGATGAGTGAACATAAGACAGAGAGGGCTATCAAAGTATAGTACGAAAAATTTCAGCTGTAACAGAAATACAGCTTGAGTCATTCACTGCATATGAGAGTCTCATAGAACTTCTGAACAGGCCATAGTTGTGATCTCCAGAAAGTAAGCTGTGAGTTTCCGACAGAAACCAAACTTTCTTAAAAGCTTATATACATAGCTGTCAGCTGCATATGAACAATAGTCGGATCTATTGATTTGCAATAGTAAAAACCAAAAAAACTAAACTGTCTTCAAAATGATAATGTTTATTCCCAGTAATGAACTCCTCCCTGAGCTTATTTTTACAGATCATGTTGTTACAGTCTCCTGTTACAGTTGGAAGATTTGTGAAGTAAGATGCAGTTGTTAAATGTAAATACTGGATCAGGTTGTGACCTACTAGATTAAATTTTTAAAAAATATTCAGAAATCCCATAATTAATTTAAAAAAAGAGAAAGTGAAAGACAGATGGTGAACCCATTAGTATACCCTAGATGTACCTTCAAGCAAAAGCAATTATTTTATGCTTACTTTGTAAAACTAAATTGTCTCTACACTGTGAAAGAACCTAGCTGCAAATTTTGAACTGTGGGGGGAGTGTTAAGTGTGCCTGGAACAAGGCACAGTCCATTATAGCCAGTTCTTTGATCCAGCTACTATGCTTTTGGCTTTTGCAGGCCAAGAAGTTCTTCTAGATGTAACTGTGAAGAGTGCAAAGAACCACAAACAATAGCACAACTTAACAAGCACCTTCAGAGTCTCAAGAGAAAAATTAGGAAGTATGAAGAAAAGTTTGAGCAAGAAAAAAAATACCTGGTAAGATAATAATTGAGAAGGTAAAGGGAAATACTACAAGAGAAAGGCACGAATCCCAGTGCATTTAAACTAAAGCAAAACAATAGGAAAAAAAGGTATTTTTGGTAAAATGTAATAGGAAAATTATCAGTGAGGGAATATATTTTTATCATCTTTCAGTGTACACAGTATTTCTGATACTCTAACTTGCAATTTCTTCAGATTACCTTTGTTGAAAAATACCCGTTTTCTAGCTGTGTGAGATGTGAATCAGTGAAATGCTGCTGTCAAGCTTGTGAACCAAAATGATTCAGAAGATTAAAAGCTACTTATTTACTTTGTAGAAGGCATTTGCTTGGAAACTGTTGTTCTGCTGTGCAGCTTCCTTCATTGAGGCAGAGCCCTGTAAACCTCCAAGCATAGGGCTCAATAGAAGTTGGTGGCAGAACTTAGAGAAACAAAAACTGTGGTGTGTTGCTGGTGGGTTTGAGGTCAATGGTGTGCTCTGGGCACATTGAACTAGTTTTTATAAAGTGAATCATGCAGTATAAACATATCAAAACATCAGTGATGCTTAGGATCTGTACAATATGAAGCAGGGAATTTTGTAATATTTGATGACTACATTAAAATAAAAATTCAGCAAATTGTATACTATCTTGTAATCTTGGCAATGACTGCAAACTTAAATGTGCCTTATGGTCATCATATACTCATAGGAGTAAAATTTCTTACTTTAAGTCATCATACTGTGACCTAAAAATAAATTATTTCAGAGGGTTAATTTTGCACAACCATTTTGCAGTTTTAAATATCTGAGTTTTGAAGATCCAGTGTAAATTAATTTTAATTTGGAGGTAATTTCTAAATGCAAAGAAAGAACTGATATACAAAGCTTTTGCTGTCTGTTACTTTTGAAATCACTCTGTTGCACAGAATTTTTTCATTGGGTTAGTTAAGCATTTCAGCTGAAATGTTTAAAGTGCTGTTTCTCAAGAGAATCCCTGTCTTAGAGCAGCAGGGGCTTATCCCTGCAAGGGCCAGAGTGCTTCTGTTACCATCCTGGAAATCACTTAGGAACTTCACTAACATTAGGTATTTGAAGTCACTGAGATTACTTATCCAATTAGTCAATGTTTTTTTTTAGTATCAGGGCCAAAATACTCAGATCCATGTGGCACTGTGCCACAGTGGGGAGAGAAGGCGTGATAAATTAGTACCATGATCAAGCCAAATGCTCTGCTTGACACTGATATAGTGCAGCTGGAGGTACAAACATTTTTTTAGCACACTGTGTGTGGATAGGTTTTTATCTGTGTGATTGTATAACCATCAATTTCTTCTTTTCATTTTTGTTCTTCCTTTGTTCTTTACATTCAGCCTTCACATGGTGACAAGACTTCCAATCCTGAAGTTCTGAAATGGATGAATGATTTGGCCAAAGGTCGTAAGCAGCTCAAAGGTACAAAACAGCATGTCGTTTCACTTTATTGCTGAAGCTTTTGGAAGTAGGAGTGTTCCTGGAATATTTTAGAGTTAGTTTTCTAACCTCAGTGCTCTGCTTATTTTTCACTAGTGCACAGCAATAGGTCTCCCAACGACAACAAAGGTATTAGGTGATATGACTTGCCTTCGTTCCTGAAAGCAGGGATTAAAGTAAAGCCAGTTCATCCCTCATAACAAGGCTAATGGGAAATGGGAAAAAGATATCGTAACTATAAACATTCATGCAAAAGGCAATATTATTTTGAATATTTTTATGAGAGTCTGAAATACAGAACTACAAAGTTAAAAGTGTCCTTGTAATAGTACAAATGTAGGTGCAAAATGTTTCTTTAGGACTGAGGTTACACAACTCTAAAGCTTTTATTTTTTTTATCATAGAAATGGATCTTTCTGTGATATTAGATTTGGTCTTAGGGTCAAGTTTTGCCCTTGACTTGTCTGCACACCGCTCCATTAGTGTCTGTGGAGGTATCACATGCTTGCCCTCAGGGAGAATGTAGCCTGGACTGATTGATTTTTTTTTTTAAAAGGCTATTTATAATTTATCTGAATCTTTTTTTCCCCATTATAAATGGATTTTCACTACTAATTAAATTGTGGTATTATGTTTCCTCTGTGTTTTGGGTATAGTTAAAAATGTAGATATAGAAGATGTGATTGTGGTAAATAAAGAATTAGGAACTCACTTTCGGTAAATTTCTTCTGGAAAGCTCTCCCTTAAATAGCATGCTGCGTAATAACTAGATTTCTCCCCCTCCCTAAACATTGTGTTACAGGGAAGGGAAAATGAGAGGAAATTACCAAACTACATCGTTAACTTTCTGAAAATTCTCTCTCTGACTCAACCGTAGCCAGCCAGGGGGTCTAGCTTTCATAGATCAGCCTCCCCTGCACACCCAACATTCCTTGGTCCTGTGAACACTCTTGATTTTATTATCCTGAATTGCAATTTTGCTTTTAAGTGAAGCAAGATTCACGAGGTTCATGAGACAGGTGTAACTGAAATGGAACAACATTTGAGTGCTTCTAGATCCTTCTTCAAGTGGGGAAGGCTTGCCCATCCTTCATATCTCTATGACTTTAATAAAAATTACTGTTTTCTCCTACAAACCTGGCCTGTATCCTCAGACTGTCATAGCTTAAAAAGTTATGCTACTGCTTCTGCTCGGATTTCCATAAATTTAACACATTTGGAGCTATCAGTCTCCTGCCTTGCCCAAGGTCCTTCGCCAGCCAGGCACGTACTAGGAACAAAGCCTGGTTTTACAGGAGCAAACTCAGACCTTAATTCAATTTCCTTGTTGCTCTGTGCAGGTCCCTAGAGCTCCAGGGTCTTTGGCTTGGTGTCAAGCTAATGTACTTACATACTTTATTGCATCCAGGCAGCTTCCTGACTGGGAAGCTAGGACACACTGTAACCTATATGTCTTCTGCTGGGTTGCTCAGGTGCTTTTCGGCCAAGGGAAGTCATTTAAGCAAAGTGGCTGATTCTCCTTGTGAGGCCCAGCTCAGCAGCCCGGCTGGGATGGCGAAGCAGCCTCTGGAAGGGAGGGTTATGGTTTGGATTGCACTAGAGGAGAGTGGGGTTGGTTATGCAGACCTGGAGTACGTGTCTCCAGCAGGCTGGCTGCCCGCATGGTGGGCTCTGTAGCACAGCTTAACCTCCCCATCCCTTCTCAGGGGAGCACCTTTGCTCTGTGCCTCACCTGTGCAGCAGCACGGGAGGGCAGGCAAGCACAGCTGGGGTGAGAGTGGGGCAGGTGGCTGTGGAGGCACTGCTTCTTGGCCAGGAAGGTGTCTGTGAGGGACTGCATCCTTGCACATCAGTCCCTACAGCAAGCTTGGATGTTCTTCCTTATCCAGGCACCAGATCAGTTGAGAGTGCACAAGGGTAGTGAGAAGCAGGGGGAAAGAGAGAGCTCTGCTTCCATATCCCTGTCCCCCCAGACCTCCCACAGATACTCTCAAGTGCTGTTTGTCCTTTAAAGCCCCACTCTTAACCTCACTCCCACTGAGATTCTGCACTGATTCCTTCCCAGACCCCACTCTTTATCCCAGTGCCTCTTCAGTCCTCACCTTTTGTGTCAAATATGGGCTTGGAGGAAAAAGAGAAGTAAATTATGTGCTATAAATTTTTATTGGCCTGGACACATCTCATCCCTTGACCATTGGATTTCCCTTTAACCAGGTAAAAGATGTTACATGTTGAAATGAAGCAGAATTACTTACCTACACATCTGTGGTATGATACTAATTGTATGCAAGAAGTAGGGATGTATTTTTTTTTTCTTGTAGTGTCAGAGGAAACTTCTTTACAAATATTTCTAATCTGTTTACTTGCCAAGTGATTTGCCTTTCAGAGCTGAAACTCAGACTGTCAGAAGAGCAAACCTGTACCTCTAGAGCACCCCAAAGAAATGATCATTGTGAGAACACTGGGACCTCTAAAGAGGCTGCCACACAGGAGGCCACAAGCACAGAACCTGCTCCCTCGGTAGAAGAAACTGTGGACAGTGTATTGAGACGATTAAAGGAGAAAAGACAACACTTTAACCTTCCTGAAGCTATTAAGGTATTTAGCAAGTATGGCTGTTTCTTTCAGAACTTTATCATCCGAGGGAGACAGTAATGAGTGTGTAGCTGTCTCAGGGTACGCTGGTGGGTGTGCATCCTGTGTCTTCTGGCACTGCAGGGCATTTTCTCTCTAAGAAGTTGGGAGCTCTAGTACAGTTTTCCCAAGTGAGTTTTCTGTGAAGAATTGCACAGAAAAAGAGATGCAGAAGGTTTTTTCAAACAGTGATAAGTGCTTTTTGCCCAGAGATGCCAGTATAAAACTGTTTGCCAGGCACTGCTGAAACCTGCCTGCTTGAGGTTGTACGTGCAGTGTATTGAAGATGGTGACAGCGAAGGGAATCCTTTCTTAAGTACATAGAAACTGTGTGACTAAAAACGTTCCTGATGTTATTTTGACAATAAAGGTCCCCTCTCACCTGAGAAACGCTGAAAGCTCTGCCCGGTGCTAAGATCACAGGGACAGCACTACTCTCCAGACAGCTTTGCCCTTCTGATCTTGTACGTTTGTGGTGATACTCCCTCTGCTCCTACACATTCTCAATTACTCTTCTAAACGTAGGAGCAATATTCCATGAAACATGCTTGCATGGCTGGGCAAGTTACTATTGTTTTTAGGCTAGTACATGTTTTAAATTCTGCTATACCTTCACACTGCTGGTGTGTTACAGGGTCTGTCTGAAGCTGTTGTTCTTCAATACATACTTTCCTAAAAATACATACTTTCCCTAAAAATTCTTTTTTGGGGCTATTTTTTCTGTTAAAGGATGTTGCTATCCCCAATGCTACATAGCCAAGCAAGACAAAAAATTCTGTCCTAAAATCTTGTTTTAAATTCTGCTATACCTTCACACTGCTGGTGTGTTACAGGGTCTGGCTGAAGCTGTTGTTCTTCAATACATATTTCCCCTAAAAATTCTTTTTGGGGGCTATTTTTTCCGTTAAAGGATGTTGCTGTCCCCGCCTTCACACTGCTGGTGTGTTACAGGGTCTGTCTGAAGCTGTTGTTCTTCAATACATACTTTCCTAAAAATACATACTTTCCCTAAAAATTCTTTTTTGGGGCTATTTTTTCTGTTAAAGGATGTTGCTATCCCCAATGCTACATAGCCAAGCAAGACAAAAAATTCTGTCCTAAAATCTAAATGTTGACAGTAACATTTAGACTCTGGCTGATGAACAAAAAAGGGGACAGGGTGAGTGGGACAAAGAGGAACGATGAATTAAATGCTAAACTATGTGAGAAGTAAGAAATTATTCTGGGTGGATTTCAGTAACAGAAAGTACCCTGCAGGGATAATTTTTAATTTTTTTGTTTTGTTTTGCTTCTATTCTCAGTTATTAAACAACTAGTTACTGTATAAAAATGAGAATTGTGCATAACAATGCTGTGCTTCTGAGATCTTGAGCTCTGCATACATGACTGACTTTTTAATTGTTTCTTTTTATAAACTACTTTTTTTAAAACTTGAAATGGAAAAAGTGTTTCATAACCAGAACTCCTTTGTAAGAAAACAAAAGATGACAACAAAACCGTGCTGTTCTCTATATAGTCCTAAAATCCCAGCAGTGCAGACTGTGTGATAATATTTTCAGTTGTTGTTTTTTTTTTTTTATTAAGCAAGGAGTGAGATCAGATGACACCAAAAGAGATGTCAATGAGGACATCCTGTCCAGAAAAACACTCTTGTAGAGTAAATTGGGTGTAGGTCTCTGTCCTACCCACTTTTTGATTAGTTTCTCAATTTCTCATTTTCCAAGAGAGAGTCTCCTAAATCTGTGCAATGGCAGTGCTGGCTTGAAATGTTCTCATGGAGAATTCTGTAATGTAAATTAAATGTTTTCACAAGTTAATATTTTCAAATATATTTTTTAAAGATCTTATTTATTTTTTTCTTGTATTCTTGTAGAGAGAACTTGTGTTGAGAACTTTCCATCTGTTAGCAAAGATTTATGATAAAAGTTACATGAAACTGCTAGGGAACAGAGGCTTGAAAAGGAATAATATGAAGTCAAATTGATCTATTTCAAAATGATATATTTTATCCATTCCTTACGTATAATGTTAAAAATGATTGTTCACTTGTTTTTTGAGTAAGAGTCATCATAATCAAAATGATGAGGGAGAATGAGGTTTATAGCTTTGATGATGTGAAACGAACCAAGGATGTCTGCTGGTTACAGCAAATAGCAAAGGCTTTTTTTCAGCTACATGCAACATTGGTGCTACTGTAGATATTTTTTTATGTGCAACCTTTTAGTTTTTATATAAAATTTAGATCCTGTACCAGAATCTGAGCTAGATTAATAGTAAACTAAATAGCAGCTAAATGTTTCCTTTTTTAAGATTTAGTTATTTGGGGAAAGGATAGAGTTTCCATAAAAGCCTGCCTAGTTCTCCCCTGAAGTCCAACTCTGGAAAGCCTCTAAGGCCCTGCTGAAACGCAAATGAGAGAATGAGTGTCTTTAAGAAAGGTGCAGAGAAAAATCCTGAGCCACCCATATGTCCAAAGAGAACAAACCACAAGATATGAATACAAAAGAGCAGATTGTGGGTTTTCAGCACAAAACACCCTTCCTGCAAAAAAAGCCCGTGAGTAAAGTTACTGAATGAGAAGACTTAAGAGAAAACTGGGATTATCCTGTGAATGATTCAGTAACCCAAAAAGGGATGGCTACCTGTAACTATTTTTTAAGTACAAGGCTTTAAAAAAAAAACAAGATTAAGACTATGAATGCAGGAGTTCAGGAGCCATAAGGCAAATAGACAGAATTTGAAACATATTACTCAAAACCCCACCAAATGCCAAAATCCCAAATCCAAATCCCAACTCCTGATTTTTAAGACAAGCCCAATGTGTAGTGGCTGGGGATGGAGCTGCTGCCCCAGTCACAGTGAGGAGGAGGAGGAGGAGGAGCAGCCCTGCAGTGCTCAGCTCTCCTTCACCCGTGGGCTACCATCAGACTTGGCCCGACCCTCAGCTGGAGTAAACTGGCATCGCTCTAGGGACGGCTCGTGTCAGTTGTTGCCTTCCTTTAAGATTTTTCTTATCATTTTTGGGTTAATTGCTGCTTTGTAATGAGCCACCATGCATCCCCAAGTGGCAGATGTAGACCCTGGGAACTCGCACTCCTTGCCCCGTGGGGACAAAGCGCTGCCACCTCCGCATTCAGGGAGCTGACTAGTGGGGAAGACAACTGTATCCAGCATTTGGTGTGCCTTCGTCCCAGGTTAGGGGAACCACACTACTACTTTAGCTTGACACCTAACCTCCTTTTCCTTTCTTTATAGGCAACAAATAGCTTTTCCCTTATGTTTAGTTTGAAGATTTGCAGTCTGGTCCTCAAGGCTTTTCTCAAGCTCGTTACCTTTATCTATCTGTTCTTTCATTACTGACCCGTTTCAGTTTATCTTTTCCTTGGCTATAAGGCAGTGGTTTTATGCAACTGGCACTGAATTTCGTGTTGCTGTACCCAGCTTACAGTCAGGCAATTCTGTAGTTTGTGATTCTACCTGCCCTCTCTGATTTGAAATTATCAGCCACTATGAACATAGCTGAACACAAACCCGTATTGAGATTGCTAACAAAATGAGCTAATGAAATAGGCTCAAACACTAAACCCTCTTGAGATTGTTTCTCATGTGTAAAATCAATATTAATGATCACTCCCTGTTTCCTCTTAACCATTCAGCTGCTCCAGGCTTAAGAGTTTTGGAAAGAATTAACCTTGTATTAATTGCAGAACTAGCAATAAGTAAACCAATTAAGCTACTTTATAATACTCCTACATTCTAGTTAGCAGCTTGTCTCTTAATGTGAATGACAGATAATTTTGGAGCGATTAACTCATGCTGACCTTCAAGGCAAAATGTGGTTAGTGGTACTGCACTACTTTTGCATTTGGGCAGCAAACAAAGAAGGGTTTGCTCCTGCTGAAGTTAACAGCAAGGTACCCCTTGGATATTAGGAGTGCATTACGTCTTCAGGGCTTGATACATTTTTAAAAAGTAGAGGCTAATTACTAAACATACTTCTCCAAGTTGTCAATAAAAAACCCTAGTCATTGACTGTCTGCAGAAAGGCATATTCCACTTCCCCCCCAGCTCCATTGTTCTTCACATTACTTCATTGTGGTGGGTGAGGTCTCCTCCCAAGCTCCCAACGCTCGGCCCCAGTTCATTGCCAGATCTGTTGTGATCTGGCAGAGACTGTGGAAAATGACATTGGCTTCACGTGCTCCTTGCTGTTCAACCCAGAGGAAAATATGCAAGTGTGAGGAAAGGGAGAGGAGAAGAGAAATACCAGTTAAATAGTGTGCTCCCTGCAGCAGACACCTATATATATATGTATCCTGGTGTATCACCAACACCGACAAACCGCAGTGCTGAGAAATCAACATTCAGCTTCCATCTTTGTTGATCTCATCTTTCATATTGTGATTTTTGAAGAGAAATAAACTGCTGCTGTTAGGTGTTCAGCCCAGCAGCACAAGAAGCGCTGGTGAGGAGGAAAGCCCACCTCTGTTCCCATTGTCAGTAAAGGGCTGCTCTTTCTGCAGCTTCCCCATCACGGTCCTACAGACACACACTGTCCTGCCATCATTTCCTGCTGGCTGATCAGATTATTCTTCTGCTTCATTTTAGAGATAGCACCTTTTTCTAGTATGCTCAGCATTTATGGGGTGTTAACTGTGGTATCACAATGATTGGATATTTAGGGATTTCATTGTGAATCTCTCATTCCACTCCATAAATGGGTTGTATTTGCATAGCTGGAGCTTCCTGTTCTTCATCCCTTTACAGCCAAGGCAAATCTATTTTTCTTGATGAATAATTAAAAAATCGAAGAATGTCCTCCCTGCTGTTTTGCAAGTTTCTGAGTATTTTGTCTAGAATGGTGGTCGTTCTCATTTGTTACAACTAAACAATGTTTAATATATAATAGAGAATGCTATTTATGATTTATGCACTGATCTGGCAAACAGACGTTAATAACATACAGATCTCATTAACTAATTTCTCCCTAGGATGGATGCGAAAAATATTTATTTATTTTTTCATTCTACAACAACTATTTATATATGTTACCTAACATTAGAAAAAAATTTCAGATGCAGGCTCTGATGGAGCAACACACCAAGATTCTTGCCTTACTGACTAAGACCGTAGTTTGTACCCTTGCAGACTTTCCAGATAAGGATGCAGTGTTCTGTCAATAGCTTAAAACTGCTTCCTGACTTTAAGCTTGTTAAAATTGCTTTCGTAGAGTAGTGATTTGGAAAGAAATCAAGGCAATCAAGTATTAAAACTTTATAAAATGACGTTAAGAAAAATGTTTAGAGTCTTTCCCTACATTTTCATTCATGCATCTTTCTCCCAAAGAAAGAGCGTAAGTTCAGGCCATTAAGGCTCCACTTTGGCCAGACAAAGCAAATACAGTGTATTTTCCAAGGGTAGAGGCCTAACCTAACACTAGTAGTACTCTAGTAGTAGAGTAACTACTCTACCAATCAGTAGAATTGTCTCCTAGCTCTCATTAGCTTGGGCCCAGGCCTTGAGAGAGTAACACGTACTTTGATTCATTTAAAACTTCAGTCATGTACATTTGGACTCTGTTCTTGCTGAGTCAATGCCAAGTCCCCATTGACCTCAGTGTGGACAGAAAATTCATTATTAATGTTTATCTGGGGAAAATAGATTATTAAACAGTTCCCTTGTCATGAAATCCTGACTCATAATCTTATAAATAACTTTTTTAAATAGGATATGACAAAAAAGCAAATGGCTTTGGAAAAAATCAGTCTTCAGAAATGTCTACTATATGTTGAGAGTATTCATGGACGACCTGTAAGTATACCATGGAAAGATAGGTAAATTAAAAATTATCTAACTTCTCTAACAAATATTTTTGGATACCTATATTAAATACATGTAGATTAATTTTACATGATTAACATAATTTTAGTTATTTCAAACTAATCTTCAGGTATAAATGTTACTGCCTGATACTGATGAATTTGGTTTATATTTTTAAAAGTAAAAAAACAAAGGCAAGTTTCTAGTGGCCCTGCTTCTCTTCATGATTGGAATGTGCAGGTTTTGATGATAAAGGTGGAGGAGTGTTCATCCTCAGCAGACCTGGCTGATGCACTCTGTAGCTGTGCTGCGATGGGTGGAAGGGTAGAACCCTTTGCAGCCAAGAAGGGTTTACAGGGCACCATCTGAGACATGACCCATCATCTGTGCTTTCCTTTATTTCACAGCAGCACTTAGAACTATTAATTAAAATCCTTTCAAGGGACTTAATTGCTGAATGTAGGTACAAAACAAAAAATTACCACTTCTGCTGAGATGATGTTTTGAAAGTTTTTCTTATCACAACTGAGGAGCTCCTCCCTGATGTCTCTCTCTGCATTCTTATCACTGTCTGTTTCTACCTGGTAATTGCTGTGGTGGAGAAAAAGGGAAGTGGCACCAGCATGTGTCCAACATTATGCCAACTCTTAAAATTATAATATTTTGAATCTGATCCCTCTGGACCTTGGATAAATTAGGTTTTGTCCAGCTTCTTTGGGCTTGAAATGAAAGCTATGGGGTGAAGAGAATATATAGGAAGGGTATGAAGAAATTATATTTCCTAAGGAGAACAAAAAAGAAATGGAGTTCTTAATGCTGTATGGAGATAAAAGAGACTTGAAGGTTCAAATATAGAAGAGAGAATAACAGGGCATGCTTTGTACCACGGGGTTCAGTGAGAGGGTGTTTCTTCTCAAGGCTGAAGCAGCTCTATAACCAGCTAAGAAAGGGGATGCTAATGCATAAGGAAAGAGGTGATCAGGGATACTAAACAGCTGTGAGGGAATCCTAGGTCTGCCAAACAGCTCTGACTTCATTCAGGTGACTGAAAACTCAGGGACAGTCCAGAATTTAAAGCAGGGAAATGGAAGTTAGGCAAGATTTTGACATCATTTTTTGTTGTTGTTGAGAAGGATCAAGCAATCTGGAGACGCTCCACCCAGTTCCAGTTGTACACTTAGACAATCATTTATCTTCGAGAAGCAAATTTCAATCTTTGTATCTATATCAACGTGTTTTCCTGAGGAAAAGGGGCGAGGGGTCTGCAGGAAACCTGGGCACCAAGAACACGGGAGAGTGAAGCCAGCAAGGGCCAAGCTCAGTGGCAGGCACCCACCCAGCCCAGGTCAGAGCTGGAGGGGCCAGGAAAGAGAGTTCTGCTGAGGAAGCTCAGGCGGTTGGTAAAAGCCAGGGGATGATGACTTGGAGAAGGCAAATTGGTGCCTGCCCAGTCAGAGGCACCCCGGTGACATTAGCTAACAAAGCAGGGTGCCACTCTGTGAACACAGAGCTGTCTCACTGCAGAACAGTGTCAGCCAGTTCGTGTCTCTTCAAACCTGTCACGTGTGCTCAGCTGAGCGTGCGGAGCTGGGCTTCAGTGCAGTAGCACAGACACAGTGCCAACAGACAGTGAAACTGTACCCAGCGGGTGCCAACAGGCATGTAAGGTGAGGAGCAGGGCCTGGTGGTGGACTAGTTTGTAAATGACTCCATTTTGACATTTAAACTGAGAAACATGTTGGGTTTCTGTTGGTTTCGGGTTTTTGGTTTGTTTTTTCTTGTGGGGTTTGCTATTTTTTTTCTTAGTACAGAAAGTGGGTCTACTGCACAGCTAGTTTCCGTAAGGTTTATGTTTATATTTACAAATATTTGTGGCTGGATCAGGCTCTTAATACCTGATCTAAAATAACATTCTCCTCCAAATCAATGCTCCTAGCGCTCATAAAAGAGCAAGGGCAAACTAAATGAAGCCAGTTAACCCCAGTTCTGGCCAGGGGTGCACAGAGAAGTTCTGCATGGAGCCAGCTCACGCACCAAGACCGTATTCTCAGTGTTCTCCATCCCACGGGGCACCTGCGTGTCCTGGCCCAGGCAGGCTGTCACCTCACTGTACCTGCCTCTTGCCTTGATTGCAGTTCAGTGAGAGAAGCAGCAGATCTTAACTCTTACCACTCTATTAGCATCTTCAGAAAGAAAGAGAGAATAGTTTACCCTCTGCCTGGGTTGTGTAGCTCAGGGAAGTGAGGAATCCACATTGGGTATTTTCCACTAGAAAACAGAGTGCTGTTTTCTTTCTTAGAAATTGTATGGATTCAACTACAGTTCCATGGAATGTCTATGGAAGCAAAATACAAACACTATTCTAATGCCTCTCTCAGCTTTACAGAAATTTATTTATTTATTTTAATTTGGAGGAGTATATTTTGTTGTCGTTTCTCTTTAGGTAACTAAGCAAGAAAAGAGTCTCATGAAACCTCTTTATGACAGATACAGAATTATCAAGAAACTTCTTGCAGCTCCATCTTTGATTACAACAATTGTAAGTTGGAAAGAATTCATATCCATTGTCAAGAAAACATGCTAAATGCTGGGTTTGATTTGTACCTGTATGTCAGTTTGGCAGCAATAGAACTGCTGGTATTTGAAGAATCTGCTCATTGGTTAATACAGGTGTTGCTATTTCAAATAAAGCAAGTGCTCTGTCAAATTGAAGTGCTAGACATACCAAAGGTTGCAACGTACAGCAGCAGTTCCCGAGGCAATCACTTCAAATGACTGGGCAAGAGATCAAAGGCTGTGTTAGCTTTCTGCTACATCTAACAAACGTATTTTGTTGACAATGCTTTTATCAATCAGGTAGCACATAAATATCATTTGTAGTACTGTAATTAATAATATATCAACGTAAAGTAACAGTACTGGTCTGTCCTGTGAGCAGAGGTAGTGGAATCTGGTTATCTAGAAGTCAATTAGCATGTCTCTAGCAAAAAATATTAATCTAATAGTAATTTGGCCTAGGTTGATGTTAAAAATTATGAACAATTGTTGTATTAGATGACAGTGGAGCTTTAGACTTCTTTGAAAAATCCTGGTGTAAATCTTTGTACACGTGCACATGGGTATTTTATTTAAAAATTTAACTGAAGTTCCCCTGTGTTACTTCTAAGGAGCTTTGCTCTGTGGAGTTTTTATGTTTAAGCCTTAGTTTCAAAAGCTCAACTTTTCTTCTGAGGATGAAGGAACATGAGGAAGACAGTGACATCGCTCTGTTTTGGTAGTTAACATTTGTAGCTATAAAACTGTGCAAGCTCTACCTCTGACTTTTGTTAGAGTCAGAATTTCTGGACATAATGCGAACAGTAGATGGTGTATAAGAGGAGTACAAGTTCCAGCAAGACTGCAGTGCTTATGTAAATACAGAATGTTCTTTAAATCTTTGCTACTTATAAGGGCTTTTGAGTAAACATAAATAAATTGCTGGCTGGACATACCCAGAAGCAGGGCCAACTTCTGTCCTGTCTAGTCATGGTGGCCAATAGACAGTAACTCAGTGGGCCCCACGAGATCTCTCATGAACGATCTCAGGTAGACCTGGGTAAAGCTTTCAATATTTGTAATCTATTTTAATGAATACATCCAGGAAGTTGGATCCCAAGTCTTTACATTGTCACCCTACTAGTTGTTAGTATTGTAATATAAACAATTAATTTAATAATGCTTTGCATTTTACAAGCAAGAGGAAGAAGACTCGGATGAAGACCATTCTCAGAGCAGCCATGAGCTATCATCTGGTCCACTATCTTGCCTCCCTGTGGACGAGCACCTGTGCTACTCTCAGGAGGAGAGCGAGCCTGCTTATGTTTCACCTCTGGATGAAAAGAAAGTTTTCAGGCAAACAGCCTTGTCTATGTCCAATTTACATGAGGCAACAATGTAAGTTCAGTCTTTTTTTCTTTTCCCTGAATATTTTAAAATATTTTATGTAGACTTTTTGTAAATGAAAAATGAACCATATTTGTTGCATGGGAATATTCTATACCAAAGAAGTGATTCAATGTTTTCTTCTGGGAGAAAAGAGGCAGAAGATAGTTGTTGTTTGGGCGGGATACCTGTCTTCTGAGCTATTTATTCAAACAACTTTGTGCCAAATTCATGAAGAGAAGGGCACAGGACTGAAGGCAGACAGGAGAAATAACTACAAAATGGCAGATACTACATAATGGCATAGTATAAATATACTGATCTACCTATGATTGCTGCAAAATTTTTAGATATCCAACAACTTATGTTCTTACAAAGCAGTCATAAAAGAAAGCACAGTTCAGCCAAGCAGGACAGTCTGCTCCTGTGTGTGTGTGTATGGGGACTGACTGTGAGTGAGGTAAAAATACCAGAGACATGAGGCATCCAAACAGTGAGAGGTGAGCTGGGTCAAGGATCATGGCCACGTGGGAGGCCATTGAACGTGCGTATAATCAGTTTCTTCCTTGCATAAGAATAGTTATTAGTGTCTGGATGCCCAGAAAACTTCACACCATCCTCCTAACTTCCATTATAAAACCAAAATAAAACCCTCCTGCTGATTTGTAAAGAATCTCAGGTTGCATGAGCCAATAAACCTCAAGCTGCACATGGGTTATCACTGCACAGCTGTTATCACTCAGCTCTGAAAGCTGTTGAAGACAGCTTTCACCTGTCCTTCCAGGAACAGGTGTGGTCTCTTAGCTTATGGGATGGTATCTTTTTCTTGTGTTTTGATTGGGAGCTCTTGGATGCATAAATGAAGCTGACTAGGCTCTACCAAAATTGAGAGTAAATAAAAATGTCTTGGTTTTTCCACGTAACTCAATGACATATGCAATAGTTTGCTCACAAATGGTGTGATGGTATTTCTGTGCATTTTGTTATTATGGAAAAAAAATATAGCTGCATAAGTCATAAGAGAATTCTTTCTCTGCTTAAAAACCTTTTTCTCCAAATACCAGCTAAAATATGGCCTCCCAAATTGTTGGTTCTGGGTACCACTAGCATTTCCACTGCATCACAGTAACGTTTGGCAACAGCTGCTTCTAGGAGTAGGGCTTGGATGTTGACTTTATTAATTCAGTTATAGAAATGCAAAGCATTTCCTGTGAGATGCTGAGCCCTGTCAACTCCATTAAGTCCACCCACGTTGTCCATAGAGTCTGTCCCTTCGCTTTATTAGAGGGGTGAGAATAGAGTCAAAGGGAAGGAGCACAACTGCTTGTTGGGTGTGATGGTGCAGCCAGATACAGCCGTAGCTGGAGGGGTCTGGTGGGCTATCTGGGGACACTGAGACCAGTGCCTGCCACGGCCCGTAGCAGCAGGCTGCTTGTTACCCAAAGCTACAGCTTTTTTACAATACTTCCAAGCACTTGGGGGTTTCATGTTCTTGTCTCTGTTTTACAGGCCTGTTCTACTTGAACATCTCAGAGAAACAAGAGCAGATAAGAAAAGGCTTCGCAAAGCTCTGAGAGAGTTTGAGGAACAATTCTATAGACAGACAGGAAGGTAAATGACCAGCTCAACAACATCCCTCTCCTCCTCCCCTTTGGGCTCCTACGCGGACGTGTGTTTCTGCTGGGGTGGGTACTCCTAGGTGAGCAGGCTGAAGAAGCTGCAGCTCGGGACTGGGGGATACCATGGGGGTGTCCGGTCTCGGTGGAGATGTCCATCTCCCTGCTTAGTTCCTCTGGGACGTGGGCATCCTTGAGGACAGTCTGGATCTGGGGATCTCTCAGGACATGCCCACAATGGGTATAAACCCCATCTCAGGATCCTTCCTGAGCTGAAGGGAGGCTGCTGAAGAGTGCAGGGTTACACCTGGCAGCTGGGACATTTTTTAAAGGCCAGATTTAGAAACAGAAGGCTACTTTTCATTCTTTGTTTATCCTCCTCCCTTCATTTAGCAAACTTGTTTGGTGAAAACCACAGAGGATATGGGCATGTAGCCTTCTGGTAACAGCTTCAAAGCCCTGTGTAATAACTTCTCTGCATATTTTAGAATAAAGTAGTTATGCTTGCATAGCTGACAATAACAAAAATTATCTGGCATGTAAAAATTCAAAATTTTAAAAACTATTACTTCATTTTTGTCTATTAGAGCCTTTTGGTCCTGTCAAATTATCTTTAGTCACCTACAGTTGGGGAAAAAAATAATCCAACCCAATCCTCGTTAGTTCTTGCAGAATTAATTTTAAAGACTATTTTGCCTCTTATTCATAAAAGTGATAGCACTTTTATTTGCTTTTCAAAGGAGTCCTCAAAAAGAAGATCGGGTGCCAATGGCTGAGGAATACTCTGAATACAAGCACACAAAAGCCAAAATCAGGCTCTTGGAGGTTCTCATCAGTAAGCATGATATTTCCAAAACAATTTGAAGTGAATGCACTGCTGTGGTATTGTTCTCTAGGAAAAAAACAAAACAAAACAAACAGGTAATGAAAAGCAGGAAGTAATTTTACAGGTCTTGGTCTGCTGCACAATTATTTGACACACTGAGATTTTTGATGCACTTTACCAATTACAGTAGCTGGGATGAGAGAGGACAGCAATACGCAAGGATGTTAAGCACGGGTGAGTGGACTATAGTATATATTTTTTCCTTTTGAAAAAGCCTTGAAGTGCACTGTGAGAATGTTAGAATTTAAAAGGACACTGAAGAATTGTAGACCTTCAGTTTGACCTGCTCTTAGTTTTAAGAAGTGTGAGGAAATGCTCTCCAGGTTTTTAGTACATGATAATGTACCACACATTTCTTTCCAGAAGTAATATGCACTATAATTAACTATTAATATCGGTTCTCAATGTGCTGATTCACTAGATTAAAAGAAACACGAGCATAAAACAAATGAAGGAAAACTCATGAACACACTCTGCTTTTCAAGACAGAGTTGCCATTCATTTCCAGTAGCTTCAAAGAAAGGTGCACACAAAGAATCAGTGCCAGGATTTGGTCTAACATTCTGGGAGTAGAGCAAAGTGACATTGCCTATGCAAAAAAAGGACGCAACATGACTGCCAAACAGAACTATTGCTTTCTTAGAAATGAGAGAAAGTGTTTGGCAAAACTAAATGAATCAATTTATTGAGAAGTGTTAAATGTAGAGGCTGCTGTCCTTTTGACTCTGGTTCACAGGACCTGGCTCCCAGTACTTAAAATCCAGTAAATAGGTCAACTACATGCTATTTTACATTTCTGTATTAAACCTTGCACTTTATTTTGCCTGATGCTATAACATTTGCTTTTCTAACTACCAAAGCTCGTTTAGACGCATGCACTTTGTAAAATGTCAAAGTATTTCTTGTGTTATAAATTGCCACATATATATATATATTAAAATGAGACTAGATTATTGCAGTATGCTAAGTTATTTTGGATAGATAAAGTACATGGTATATAATTGAGTGTCACAGTTATCTGATGAGGAATGTTAGACTTATTGTTTACTGAAAATAAGATTATAAAAAAAGATATTTTTCCATTGGAATTATGCATCTTTCTTAACTTTCAGAGCACCACACTTTGTAATATTAAGGAGATTTTTTTCACTATTTGTGATAGACCATTTGTGTGAAAAGTGGACTGTTAACAGAGGGATTATCAGTGATTTTTGTACTAAAATGAAAAGCAGGGATTCTGGGAAAAACCTAGCCCAGACATAAAGGAAGGAAGAATAATAAAAGAAAAGGGACTTGAGTAAGTTGAATCACGTTTAGTGTTTTGCTTTAACTGTCATTTTGTATTGACCACGTAGTATAAGCAACCTGTTTTCTATCTTGGTAAGACAATTTTTATTTTATAAAGCCTATTATGTACCAACCATGTTTGTATTTCTATTGTATGTAATGACTTGGCATGTTTTTGAAGACGTACACATTTTCAAGTAGTTTGGAGGAAAAAGTATGAACACTAAAAAAGGAATTTTTTATTTCTCAGAGGTTTGCTGTTTCAGTGTACTGACTTAATAATTTATAACGTAACTTTTATGAATCAGAAATGGTCTCCTTCATAAATCTGTTTTAATTAAAGTCATCTAGAGCAACAGGAACAGATACAGAGCTATTTGAAGTTTACAAACTACATCTTTGATAAGGGAAAATGATTTCATGACATATGTATACAATTGATATTAAAATGTAATCTATATATTCTATATGATTGTATAATATTTTATACAACAGTACAAATAAAATATTTTTCTATTATATTTATTATGTCAAGACACAGTTTCTGTTTTCAGTTAGCTAATATAAATAACATAAATAACACTGTCAAACAACACGTTGGAAGTGCTGACATTTCTAGGCTTTGAAATTTAAATCATGCTGCAATTACAACCTTTCATGCTGTTTGGAGTTATCCCAGTATTTGTTCAGTAGTTAAAATGAATGCATATTTAAACACCATTTATAAGCCGTTATTTTTATTTTGCTAAAGCAGTTTATATAGGATTTTGTTATGTTTGGCAAGAAACAGAAAACAATTTTTGCAGCATCTAGGTATAAATGGTTGCCAGAAAGAAATCCAGGACTTCTAATCATTTAAAGCATCGGGGGAACAGAAGGGAAAGAGGGAGAGAAGAAATACTAAAAACGCTATTGGAGATTTTGAAGACTCGTGTTTGCTTTTGGTGGCAGCGGCATGTGCATGCTTCTGACAAAAACGTCTGACTATGGAAATGGGCAACAGAGGTTTGAAGGCTCCTAAGTAACGAGGGAAGTTTTAACGTCCAACACTGATGTTGCAGGTCTTGCAGCTGGGATCTTTCTTTGCGTTTGCAGTAGACAAGCTCATTAGTTGGTGACCAGTAATTTCCGCAACTGTGCCGAGGGAGAGATCCACAGGATCAGTGTAAATTACTTCCAAAATAACATCCTGGGCATGATGGTAAACCATGACACCGTCTTCTTCATCGCAGGTCAGAAATTTATTATCTTTTATATTTAGTTGAGGAAGGCGCTGCTTACAGAATTCGTCTCCTGGTGACCCAACCGGGGCGATGACGAGAATGACGTAGTGGTAGGCTGTGTACATGCAGTAGAAGTCTCCAAAGTACAAGTTAGTATTTGGGTTGAAGAGTTTTTCAGCTGCGATCTCAAACCTGTATCTTCCATAAGGTGAATCTTGTGGTGGCTTCCCGGTGTTAAACTCGGTGTTGCAGCTGAAGAAGATGCCTTCCAGCTTCCCACTGATGGGAGAGCCATGGCTGCCACTGTTATCCTTAACAGAGGGCTGCATGGCATTCCCATGGTGCTCTCTACGAATGAAGGACTGGTATTGTTTATTTTGTAACACACGTTAAAGAAAAAGTGGGAGGTTAGGACAGCACGCTGTTTGGGAGCACTACTGAAGGGACACAAAGGAAAACCGTTAAACTGAAACCTGTGGTTAGTGTCATCGTCTTGGGACCAGGAAAATCAAGTGACGCCAGACTCAAAGACTTAGAATAACTCCTGCTCAAGGGAAAAATCTGCTTTTCCAGTCTGGCTGTGAGCTGTGTGGGTGTTATATGCAGGCAAAGAAGAGCGCAAACAAAAAAAGCCCCCAGACCACCACTATCTTTAATTAGCTGATTTGTTCAGCCTTCCACTGCAATTCTAACACTAAACACATTTTAGTTTAATCACATGTTGAAAATTGCAAGTCAGTCTCAATATGCAGAATATGCTGTTTGTTAATATGTATTTTTAGCATAGACAGTCTATATTTAATGTAGAAAACTGCCAACCAATGGAAGTTATTTCTGAACGATGTTTTTCAGAGAGCTTATAGGAAGGAATGTACTGTCTGCCATAGGTTTTTTTTTTTTTTCCCCCAAATGATAATTTCAGATCTAATTTGTCTACTGCTGACTTCAATCAGAGCAGAGCTGGGCACAGAGTATTAGGCAATTTAGTTAGTTTCCACTTTGGTTGGTATCCAGCTTCTGCAGTCACTAGTCCTGGGGGGAAAAAATGTACAAGACAAACTTTTTTTTTGCAAGCTGAGCTCAATTTGGTTCCAGTGAAAAGAAATGTTCAATGTTACAATTGAATTTTTAAAACCCTAAGTCCCAAATAGCACTCAGCAGCATTAGGCTGCTAAATTTAGGAGAACAGTCCAAAACACCCCATCTCATCCTCCCTTAGCACCTGAGATTTTATGTACAGCAGGATGTTCTCCAGAACATGTGCCCCACACCTCTCTGGAAGTGCTGCAGTGACAGCTCTGCCTCTGTTTGCAGCTGCAACCATGGGACACCACAACAGGAAACATTCCCTTTTGGAAGTCCTGCAAAACATCAAATGTACTCGGCACCCCTTGAAAATGCCTTTATGCACATTGACAGAAAGTCTTACATCCTCCTCTGACTTGACTTTTACTATTCTTCCTTTTTTTCTCCTCCCCCCCCCCCCCCCCCCCTTTTTTTTTTTTATTGTGGAGGGAGAGACTAGCCAAGAAAAGACTTCTCTCTCAGTTTTTAATTTGCAACAGCTCCAGGTAAAATGGTGCTGTGTGGGTTTTACTTGGTTAAAGTACCAGTCAAACCAAACAAATTCAATGTATACATACAAACCAGTTCTAATCAACTGAGTAATGTCTCCAGCTGTGATTTTTTCATTATTTCTAATCTCCTCCGAAGCCTATCTTAATTTGACTCACTCTAAGATAAATTTCAGAAGTTTTCTGGGCCATTCAAATACTACACAGTTATTGTCTCAAGCCCTATTTCTCAAGCCATTGATTGGGGTGGAGAGGGTACAATTGGTATTTATGACTGAAGTGGTTACTAGGGAGAAAAAAAAAAATCATCTTGAATAATCACCAGAACAACCACCTGAAAAGCCAGGATTCTTGCAGTTCCATTTCTGTGGCGAGACACTGACATCCAGTGGCCAATTAGGCTAATTATAGGTCACTCTTCCCGGGATCTGATCCGCTTTACGGTGCTCCCGGCCGAGGGAAGCAGCAGCGACATGAACTGAACTTACAGGCTCACACTTCAGACCCTGCAGTCCGTGAGAGATAGGGGTTGCTGCTTCTGCACCACGACTGTTGCTCGTTTGCCAATTGTACTAGAGCTACTCTACAAGATTTTCCAAGCTTGTTTACTGCCTGTGACACCTAAAAGGGAGCATGTGCTTAGGGTTTTTAACATAACGTTCAGAAGGGACTGGCCCTTGTGACCATATTAGTACATTTCTGATCACAAACGCGACTATTAGTTACAGGTATTCTAGATTTATACTGACCTGCTAAAACACAGCTTGTTGTCTCTTCAACTCACTAACAGAAAGGAAAGCCAACTAGTTTCTCTTTGTATGAAAACCAGGAAAGCACATAACGGGAGGCAGGGGAAAAGATACACTGCAATCAGTTAGAGTCACATTTGGCTGGACAGGGCCAAACCCACAGCTATAAATGCGCCTCAGTGGTAATTTGCAAAGCTTTATGAACACAGTGGCAGGTGCACTATGATTACACAGCTAAATGATTACACACCCACAAAGCTAAATGAGAATCAGAACCACCACAGGCACTCCCTTCTGTCGTATCTAGTCCAGGATGGCCCTGGAGATGTACAAGCTCCTCAAAGAGCCTCAACAACTGCAGTTCATTCTCTACCTCCATTGAGTTTTGCAGCCTTGTCACTAAGTGCAATAAAATAATTCTTTCAAAACACAGAAGGGAAAAAGCAAACCCCACGCTCGGGAATATGCAAGACACTCCTGGAATCGAGTAGACACTCCTGACTACAAAGTGGGAGCGTTTCCAACAGTGCTGGATTTGGATTCCCTCAATTATTTTTTTAATTCACTGGTTTCAAAAAACTTCCTAGTTCTTGACAGGTATGAGTGTGACACCCAGATAAAACCGGAATTATGTGGCACAGCAGCAGCCCCATCTCTCAATAAGTATTAAAGAAGCTCAGTGAGTGCTGCCACCCTCCTGACACAGTGCTGAAACCCCGCTTACCTCTCATCCATGCTCCGCTAACAGCGCTGGGTTTCCTCTGCAGATGGGCTGCTCCTGCTCACAGCACAGGAGCTTTGACTCCTCCTACTGAAAATTCTTCTTTTCTATTGCAATACCACCTCCCGAAGTGTGTGCAAAGGCACACCGGGTCTCCAACAGGAAAAAGGAACCTACCCCCAGCTATCCCATTGATTCATTCCAAGTGAAGCACAGTGCTGTAAAACTCTCTAAACATCATCCCCTCTCCCTCCCCACGTGATCTGTAAATTCACATTCACATTGTAGAACCCCAGTTACTATGTGCAGGCGTGGAAATGGAGTGGTTGTACATGGAGAGCAAGTATTTGAAGTGGAACTCTTATATGCAGGCAAACGCCTATGCACACAGTCATGGACTCCTACTATGACACATTTCACTCTGAATTTCTTAGTACAGTAGAAGTATTTGGCTACTAAACACCCTGTTATGATTTAATCAGACTGCAGACCATGTGAATACTTCAGTTTCTGCTTCAAAACACAAAATTTTTATTACCTAATAGAAGTACTGAGTTAAGCAAGGTGGAAGAAATTAGTTCTATTTTATTTTTATTTTTTTTCCCTTCTTCTGAACTGGCAATAAAACATAGAGACATTCTGTTCTAGCTTTAGCACAGCTGCCTCCATTTACTTATTTTCATTACTCCCTTAATTTGCTAAACAATTTTGCATATGCTTACTTTCTTACCTGGTATAATCGAAGTATTCTTTGTGCTGATTCCGATAAAAAACAGACAGTTTAAGCATACGGCCTGCAATCACTTCAGCTTTCTCCAGTAGCTGCGTTAGGTGAACTTTTGAATAATCTGGAAGGAAAAGACAATCTGCTAGTAGGGGGGCAGGAAAAAAACTACAATACTCTCCAAAAGCTACACAGTCACTACACTTAAAATTAGGAACAGAGACTTGATTATATACCTCACACCATGCAGCAGCTGTACAGAAACTATACAGCCCAGCAGCAATTTCCAACAGTGACAGGAGACACTCGGCAGGAACACACGTGTTTGATTCTCCCCACTCCTTTCCCCACGAACACTCTGCAAGCCTACGGCAACTTCCAGCTCAGGATTCCGTGTGTTAGAGCTGGTCTCCCTGTATTTGGGACCGGAGAGGAGCTGAGAAGCACCCTCTCTTTGTCATTCGATAAACTGATTGCTGCAACGTACCCAATACCTCACTTCACGTGACTAATAAAGCTTTGGACCCAGCCTGAACAGCATCTCATCCAACGTGGGATTCACAGAGAGCTCCCTGGAGCGCTCACACAGCCCAGCACATTGGCACTGGGTGACAAACATCCAAAGGAAGAGACTTATAAATGGATGACAGGCCAAACCGACCCTTGAGAGGGGGTGCTCAGGCTTTGCAGCAGCAGGGGAGGGAGAGCAGCAGAATGTCTTAAGCAAGCCGTCTGTTAGGGAGCAGCCACTCTGCCTTCTCTCCACAGGTGCTGGTAGCCAGCAACAGGTGCACAAGTGGCCCTGCTCCACGCCAGTTCACCAGTCTCCTTTCCTAGCCTGGGACAAGCAGTGGTGCCAGGCACAGCACTTGGGGGCAGCTAAGCCATTGCAGAACAAAGGGGCATCCCAGCTGCCTCCCTCCTCTCATCAACGCACCAAACCTGAGCGCGCACAGAGCCTGAAGCTAGAACTCCAGTTCCCAGGTGTGACTGGCTGGCACTGGTGGGTGGCTAACCTACTGGGGCAGCAGAGCTAGTGTTACCTGCCTACGTCCTATGGTGCATGTTTCCTCAGCACTATTACCTGCTGTGCAAAACTCGATGATTTCACTCCACTCAGAAACGACGTAATCACCGTCGACTTGCTTTGATGCCGTCTGCACGGCCACTGTGTATTCTGTTCTGGGGCTCAGGAACCAGTGCCCGCGGACTGTCATAGGCAAAGGAACAGCTTTGGCCACCAACTTGGTGGGTACATCCTAATGGGAACAAAAAGACAAAACAACACCCAAGTCAGCAGTGCAACCAAACCAACCCACTGCCCCTTCCTTCTTGGTTTTCACAATGTAATCCCCAACCCCCAGCCCTTCTGGGTAAACCTGAGTTACTTCTCGGATAACAGTCCGTTGGTGCAGCAAAGTTAAGAGAGGGGCCGAGGACAAAGGTCTGCTCTAAGAGCTATGGTGATAACTGGCATGTCTGAGCTTATTATTGGTTCCAAGTGAATATAGACTGGTACTATTATGTATAGCCCAAATACATAATTCAGACTAGTGCCATTGGTGCCTAAGGATGCAACCAGAGAAAGACAGGCTACTGAGCACAAGAGCTTAATTTAAGAGCTTCTCGTGCTCTCACTCCCATTGTTTTCTTTCAGTCAGTGTAACCAAACAGAATGTCTTCTGCCATCAATCAGTTCACCCATATTGCTAGTGCCATCTTCCAAACCAAACTTCAACGCAGAAAATGTGCTGCAGAATAACTTTGTTTTACATGCTTCAAAAAACCCCTTATGTACAGGAAGGGCCAGAAGCAAACACTCAGCTCCATGGTTTGTGCCTGTCATCACACCTCTTGCTTCCCACCCCACCGCCATTTCAGATACTCTGCTTTGCTCACCACAGTGAGACAAATAAGAATAAGCTGCTTGTTGTTGCTGAAATACATAGTTTCTACAGCACCAAAGACTGTAGCACGGACCACCAAGGGGAATTAAAAAATGAAGAACTGGCCAGTTTATGCTAGAACTGTGGGCGAAAGGCCTCACAGTGGAGCTGAATGCTTCTCTGCACAGTGCACCTGAGGGGCTGTGACAGAGCGAGAGAGGTATTTACTCTTGAATATTTATCAGTAATCATACAATAGTAAGATGGCTGTCACGTGAAAAGTGGGCATTTTAGATAACATCCATGGCTGTCCACATAGAAATACGAGTCCATAGTCACCCACCTATAAACACGAGCACAGCAGTCCCTTAAGGACAAAGGAAACAGAACAGAGATGCTTTCTGTTCCTGATCTGTAAGCAAGACCTAAAAGATACTCTTTTTTGCTTGTGTTCTATTGTGGAAAACTATCTTTCTTCTACTGCTTTTCTGTCAGCAAAAAATACTCATCAGTTTCTGTATTAGGAAACTGTAAAATTAGTAGCTTTTGATATTACAAGAACTAAAATGTGATTGACTGATAATCATGGGTAAGATTTTGTTGTCATGATTTCTTTTTTGCTGATTCTCATTTAAATCAAACAACAGCTGGGAGAAAACTTTATCTGTAAAGGACTCAGTTGTGCACTCTGAAAATAAATAATATATAAAAGATTGAGAAAAATCACAAGGAAAAAGAAAAGAAACCTCAAATGACACGTAAAGCTGCCACCCCGGACTCCATTGCAAAGGCATCCCCTGCAGTGTAAGTGCTGAGGCTGAAGCCATCAGCAGCTGCTGCAGTTCCCACCCTTAGTCCTTCCACATTCTCTTTGCCTGCAGTAAAAACCGCCTCCGCCTGGGCCAGGTCTCTGCACCCACAACCCAGTGGTGGGATTTACCCCCATTTAGTTACAGTTTTCATGTCCCATTAAAAGCCTCATTGCCCCCATGCGTCCAAGCCTCACCTGACTTCTGTGTATCAGAAAACCCTTCTGTCTCTACCAAAAAAGGGCAGAGTACCCACAAGCACATTAAATAGAGGGTTTTCTCTTGCACAGCTGGGGAGGAGGGGCAGACATGATGCTTTTCATAACTCTAATCTGTTGTTCTTTTCCTGTGCATTTTTTTTTTAATTTTTTTTTTCAGGTTGCTATACTGACCTCAGGAAAAAACATTCAAATGCTCACATTGAAATTTCTCTGGGGATTTTCCATTTCTTCCTTTCATCTCTTTCCTGCCCAGCTCTCATTCCTGGCTGAGCCCCCAAAGAAGTGCAAAGGAGGTGATATGCCAGCCGGGATCTGGAGTGGCAGATGGCTGCTGCACCACCAGCACTTACCAGACAACTCTAAAGGTACCCAGACAGCAATAATTTCCAAGAACAACCTGGATGCACTGAATAGCTAAACAGGAAGGTACACCAGTCACACTAACTCCATTTTGTGAAGAGCTGCTTACTTCGCTGTCCCTTTTCCTCGCCAAAGCAGCAACTTTCAATTTTCAGAGCTTTCTGCCATTTCATCTTATCCTTCCCTTTGCCAGGCCTGCTCATAGGACACACTGTGGGAACCCAGCACACCCAGGCTGTAGTCTAGTTTTGCTAAATGTCTGAGCCTCATTGCCTATTACCTGGGAATAATCATACTTCTGTATCTCAAAAAAAACCTAAAGGGGAGTCATGCAAATTGCATTGAGAAAGAGACGGTGTCCTATTAGAATTCTAGTCTTTACATACTAATACCAATACAAATCTCCTCCTTCACAGATGTGATGATAATAGTTTTAAATAATAAAACTATATGCCCCCTAAATATGCCAAATATATTGAAGGAAAGAAACACCCCCCTTTCCTGGAATACAGCACCTATCTATTAGGTTTAGCCTGTAGTCACTTGCTCACAGCAAGGTGAGAAAACGGAGACTTAACACTAACTCTCCACAAGTTAGAAAACAGTTTAAGCTGGTCATCTGTGTTTATCACTTGTGAGAGAGACAGGCACTTGCAGACAATGATTTAACCAACCCATAAGGTAAGTAAGGATGATTTTTTCCCCTAAAAACACCTGTTTCCTTCCACAGCCCGACTGCTGAATGCCTCCTCCTCAGAGTAAGTCGCAAGGCTCTTTTTTACAAGTGGTAGGGGTCACCCTTTTCTTTCTAAGAAGCCCTGCTAGGAGAAGGGGCAGTGATATCCTTCACCTTTATCCAACAGCTTTGTTACGAAGGCAATGGATGGATGGGGGCCGATTCAGCTCCCTCCGGATGCTGGGAGGACCCAGTCCCTGGAGCTGCAGCTGCCAAGGTTATCAGCTCTGGACCCAGCGGGTCTGCTGCCCAGCTTCAGCTCCAAAACTCGTGTAACTGATGTTATAGGGAGGAAGGATGCAAGTCCCTAACCATACTAGGGTTACAGCAAATTTTGATCTTGAGCAATTTTTAATTTGTCAACAAAAGCTTATTCGAAAAAATTGTGTTAAAAATTACTCAGTACTAAAGATGCATGAAAGCAAACACATCTGTGCTCTGGCACAGAGAATTGCTACTCAGTCTGTGCAGTTCTCTCACCCACCCCGTCTGCTGTCGGGATTCCCATCATTCTGGCTGGGGGAAAACAAAAAAATCCCCCCCCAAAAAGCTTTAGCAGAGTCACTAACACAGTACCAGGAAATTTGAACTTAATTCTGACAAGACATCCAACTTATTCATAATTTTAATTGATAGACTTTAGTCTCTCCCATTTTTACAAAACCAATTACTTCTCTCCTTTGACTAAACACTTCATCACAATAAAAAGCTAGAGAATTGCTCAGAAAAACAAAATAAATCTAATGGCTTATCTTTATTACACTATCAATATCCTTTTTTTTCCCCTTCTCTCCATTTTAACACTAGTCTCATCACTGTGATATGGATTTTGAAGCGAATATAGTGTTTGATCTGGAAGGGTGGCTCTCCCTTTTATAAAAGCAAATTTTACAACTTTAGACCAGCTTGCACACAAAAAAACATACAAATAATTAAAATGAAAAAAATTAAAAAGAATCCATCCAAGTAAGCACTTATATTAGAAGGTATATTTATTCCTGCAATTTTAAATGGCAATTCAAATTCAGGGGCTGCTAGTTGAAAAGTAATAACAGTAAGAAAAATCCAAACATACCCTATTTTATTTGCTACCACAATTAAAAATGGGTCATGGTAAATGGCTATTAAAATATTAAATTTGGTAGTGCTTTGCACACTGGTTCCTAGCAACTGCAACATCTTGGCCAGACACGTAAAATTCTCTATTTCAAGCAGTACTAAGTGATTTTTCATTACAGTTAATGAATGTTACTTCTAACCACGTTAAACCCAAAAAATGTCAAATAAGGAAATGTGAAAAATATAGACATGCTCTTAACAGCAGTCACAGGAAAAATACTCTCACAATAAAAAGACTCAGAGAAATTGGTGGAAATAGTTCCTGCTTATCCCACCGGTTTATAAACCAATAGTAATTTAGGTGTTGGAATCAGAGCTCTCATATTTGCCTTGGTGGTTATTTATGCCTTGGTAAACCTTATCTTTTAGAGCTACTGCCAACATGGGTTTTAAATTTGCAGATGATTGTGTTGTTTAATCTCCTGTCTCATTCCATGTTTCTCTACACATCTCAGTATTTCAACTATTCTGAGGTCAAAGCAAATTTTGCTGGATTTGATAACTACAGACTCTGCAATACACTCAGTATGTCCCTGCATCAGTGGCTTGAGGAAAGAGGCCAGATGAATATTCAGGTCACAGTGCTGAATGCCGCAAACTAAAATTGCTGGAAGCCTTCCTAGAAGGGCATTAGAATTTGTGACTCTTCTGTTGAAATGACATGTGTTGCTCTCACGAGTCTGTCACTGAACAAGGACAGGCACAGAATACATGAACTGTTCAAATCATGATTAAGAACTAATCAAGAATAAAAATACCTATCTTGCAATAAATTTCACAGGTATAAAATCTGTTTTAGTTTTGAATTAAATAGAAAAGGTAATGTTCTGTTCTCTATTAAACAAATATACTTGTGCGTACATGCGCATAGGCTAGAGATGGAGAAGATATTCTGATTTAAAACCTGGTAATCAGATTAACCAAAACCCACCTTTGCCGGATGCCCAATACCTGTTTCTCATGATCTGGCTTTGAAAGATTAAGAAAACAATGGGATTCATCTATTGAAAATCAAGTACTTCCACCTTGATTGTTAAATTAAAATTACCTTGTGTTTAAATTTGTTGGAATTCTTGTTTTCTTTCTTGTTGAGATCAATGAAGTAATGAGTAATGCGGTCCTTAGATTTAGAATCCATGTCCCAAGAAATCTTGAAGGAATCACACGTGATGTTACTGATTTTGATGTTGTGCGGGACTGGAAGTTCCTCCATCTCTGCAATCCCACTGTCTTGTGATTTATTCCCTGCATAAAAAAATAAGCATGATTCATTTAGTTAAAGGCCTATTCAGTACCTGTTTTCTGTGCTCCAATACAATCACACCTCTGAAGAGCCTTTCACAAAGTCTCACAGGTGGGACTCAGAAGCAACTATGAAGTACCATTATGCAAGTCTCCATTTCAGTGGTGGGAAATATTGGGAAGGAATGAGATTCCTCATGTGAATAAGCAGCAATAACATGTCAGCAGGATGCACAGACTGGCTGGTACCACAGCTGTGTGTGGTTGTAGTTTAGGAATAAGAAACATCTGAAGGTACCTGGTGCTACAGTGTTAAGTTGCCAGCAACATCCACAGTTAATGTAATGGCCCTATCCGTACCTCTCAAAGACACATACAAATAGAAATCATATTCAATCTAATTCCATTTTTTAGCACAAAGTAGAACCAATCTCTTCAAGATTTATAGATGGTGTATACACATATGTACACACATATATAGAACACCATCTCCTTCACAATGAACCATTTAACAGCGGTTACTTGTTAAGCCACAGTAGAAGGGACACACACACCAATTTCATTTTCTGGTCCTTATTTTCTCTATTCTATTTGCCCAGTTGAGACCCTGAAGTTTTATTGGCAAATTTTTTTTCTAATTTCTCTAAGTGCATATGGTAGATGAACAAATCACCATAGACCCCCAAAAGCATCACAAGTTCTAAGATTAGGTCCTCCTTTCATTCCCAAGGCAACCTTATCATAGAGCATTCTGCAAACTTTAAAACTCAGAAACATTAGGTGATCTTGCACCACATAAGACACAAGTCAAAAGCAAAAAAAATAATAATAAAAACAAGTGGAAAGACAAGAAAAATGAGTGGGTAGAAAGGAAAAAATAGAGAAGATGTAAGAGATGTAAGAGATGGAGTAAAGAGACATGGCATAACAAAATAAAATGAAACATAGATAAGAATAGAAAGAAACAATGGAGAAAGACAAGGCTAATGCCTGTGTAAGAAAGAGAGAAAAACGCCTAAATTCTGTCCAGATGAGGAAGATTGGAAGTCTACACAGAGATGCAAGGGAACACATTGTCAGAATTATTTTTATCCCATTTAATTATAGAAAAAGATAGTATTTATATACTTCCATCACAACTGATAAAAAACTCAACACAGAAAGTGAGTCTAGTCTGTAATGATAATAAAAATGTGACTTGGAAAACATTAGGGACATTTCAACCTATCGACATACATTGTCGAAGAATTATAGAAACACCTCAATGCAGGAATATTAAGGCTGGCCTGATTGTTCAAAAGTCTCCTCAAGAAACTGCTTGAAGAAATCCCATGGATTAGTTCCGTCTAAACATGAGGAGGAACTTCTTTACTGGAATAGGCTGACCAGAGAGGTGATGGAGTCTCCGTTTCTGGAGACAGTCAAAACCTGCCTGGAGACCACCCTGTGCAACCTGCTCTGGGTGGACCTGCTCTGGCAGGGGGGTTGGACTACCTGATCTCCAGAGGTCCTTTCCAACCCCACATCATTCTGTGATTCTGGGACATGTGAAATTCAACCACAGAGTCTGCAAAATCCATAGATTTCCAGCTAGCACTCTGAAGAAAATAATTTTACTGATGACTCCATGAACCAATAATAACACTTTTCTATTTTTGTTCTATTTTATGCATTTACATGCAACAGGTCCTGCTCTTTTTTTTTTTTTCCAACCAAAGTCAGATGGTGCATGGTCCTGCAGAAAATCCTGTCCTATTTGTGCCATCCACAATGACATTTTCAACAGCTGTACTGGCTGCAGTAGACTCAGAAATACCAGTCATTACTGAAAGCTTTCTCCTCGTATGAAATACATGGTAAGTGCTTTTCCCAACATGAGATTTCAGAAAGCCAGCAGGGAGAAAATGGCATTGCTTTCTTTTGTAAGCATTTTGTGTTTGAAACATGACTGAAAGCTCTACCAGGTACACTGAAAAGGCTACATATGATTGCTCTGCCAGGAGTGAGGTTCTGTATTTAAGCAGAAGATGGAGTGATGCTGCTGAGGTTCCCAGACCCCCTGGAGAGCTGGATGGGCTTGGATCCCAGCATAATGAATAACTGAATAAAGACTGGGACACACATGCAGTCAGGAAATCCAAGCCATCTATGCCCACAATACATTAATGTGCAAGTTCTTGCTTCAAAAGTAAGCTTCTGTACTCCGTAACTACGAGCCCCAGTCACGTTACAAACAGCCAAAGTAGTTTAAGCTTCAGGAGATGTGCAAAACAGTAATGACCACTGACAAAATGTAACAGAGATGAAAAAAGGGAGCACACCAATGACAGTCAAAGAGCAAAAGTGCTCCTGTAAATGCGTATTGTTTTCTGTACAATTCTCGGAAATAATGCCTGTCTAAAGGATGCTCATCTAATCGGATGCTCCCCATCCTTTCGCTTTATTTGCTTAAGAAGTGAATAAATAGTTCCAGTAAATGTCTAGCAGAAAATCTCCAGGTAATTTTTAGCAACATTTTTAATATGTCAGAAAAAGAAACCATTTGTATTACTAAGTGCTAAGCTATCTTTTTTTTTGTGATGGAACATAATCCAAAATAAACACTTCTCAGAAATCTTTAAAGCTCTTTGAAAGTGAAAAAAAAAATCATTTTACAGACTTTGAAATACAAACAGAATATGAACTTACAATGTAAAATATCTCACAATCATCAGCAGCAAGCAATACTCTAGTTTCCCTTCTATTTAGAATATCAAGTACCTATGAAATTTGTAATGCATATTTTGATAGACATCTGTACAATGTATACACTACACTATGGGAAGTCCTGTGTGTCTGAATCCACTGCGTTGACAGGCTGTAATAGGAACCTGATAACGATGCATAGTATTAATACAGAGGATGATGATTCAGTGAGTATTGGTAAATGGTGACTTTTGAATAGCAATTGGTGAACCACTGCATGGGAACAAGGGAAAAAAGGAAAGTGTGCTCTTGCTCTCTTAGGTGCTAAGGAACCGATGCTAAGGACTTAGATGCTAGAAACCAAACATGCAGGTATTGGACCAGCTTTGCCCACACAGCAGACACCTCGGCATTCAGACCACCAAGAAATTTTGAAGCAGCGTAAGCTCTAGCTCAGAATGTGGGTCCTGCAGAAGTAGTGTTTTTTGATGTTAGGAAGAGCATTCTGTCCTGAGACATACCGCTGCTGAATGAGATGGGTGCCATGGTGACAGAGGAGGCAGAGAAGGCGGACTGGCTGAATGCCTTCTTTGCTTCAGTCTTTACTGCTCAGGCCAGCCCTCAGGAGTCCCAGACTTTGGAGGTAACAGAGAATGTCTGGATGAAGGAAGACTTCCCCTTGGTTGAGGCAGATAAGTTAGAGAACTTAAATCCAGAGTAAACTGGATATCTGCAAGTCCATGGGTCCTGATAGGATGCACCCGCGAGTGCTGAGGGAGCTGGCAGAAGTCATTGCTGGGCCACCCTCCATCATCTTTGAAAGGTCCTGGAGAACAGGCGAGGTGCCTGAGGACTGGAGGAAAGCCAATGTCACTCCAGTTTTCAAAAACAGCAAGAAGGAGGACCCAGGAAACTACAGGCCAGTCAGCCTCACCTCCATCCCTGGAAAGATGATGGAACAGCTTGTTCTGGGCGTCATCTCAAAGCATATGGAGGAAAAGAAAGCTACCAGAAGCAGTCAACACAGATTCACCAAGGGGAAATCATGTCTGACTAACCTGATAGCCTTCTACACTGGCATGACAGGATGCATAGATGAGGGGAGGGCAGTGGATGTTGTCTACCTTGACTTCAGCAAGGCTTTTGACACAGTGTCCCACAGCATCCTCATAGGTAGCTTAGGAAGTTGGGTTAGATAAATGGACAGCGAAGTGGATTGAAAAGCGGCTGAAAGACAGAGCTCAGAGGGTCGTGATTAGGGGCACAGAATCTAGTTGGAGGTCCGTAACAAGTGGTGTTCCCCAGGGGTCAGTACTGGCTCCAGTCCTCTTCAATATATCTCAATATAAGGTCCCTTCCAACCCCATATCATTGTGTGATTCTGTACTGGAATATGACATAAAAATGTGAGATACAGTGATTGGCATCATTGCACTGTAATTACCCAGAAAGAAATGAAGATGAGAGGAAAGCACAGAAGGAGAGTCAGAGTATGGTCTGTAATGTACCTACATCACTTATGACAACTACATACCATGGAATATTTCCACTGAATTTTATCAATATTATAAAAGCATTGCAACTACTGTAGTATAGAGTTACACACTTAGAAGACAAAATAGTATGGATGGGCAGAATTTTCAATAGCAGAAGGGTAATTTTGAGCTAAAGTTGGAAGTCAGGATTTTAAGAAAATACTACTATCTGCTTTTAAAGTTGGGTTTCAACTAGGGTCTAAAACCACAGTCAACCAAACCTCTTAAAAATGCTGGCTGCTACAAAAGACTGCTGAGCAGCCCATTCTCTAGTTATAGCTGGAGAATTCACATGTGTGCTAAGTGAAATACAGGAGTCACGGAGATCAAAATCGGACAGATAAAACTGAGTAAAAAAGTAATGTATTTGTACCTTGCCTTTTTTCCATTTGTGCTTTGGTCAATATTTTGTATTGCTTTTCATGCTGGAAAGCATGTCCACTTCAGATAATTTCTACATTATACCAGGATCAATTTAAAGAATAGACTGACATCAGGAAATAGGATGTCTACTAAAAGCAGAAATAGCAGCTGAACTTTCTCAAACCCGGCATACAGTTGCCCTAAAGCACTCCAAAAATCCAGCTGAAAGGAAGTTACTAGTGCTATGGATGTGAAAATGGGTGGAGAAAGCCTTAGAACTGACTGCTTGCCTGTTTGTTGCTTTGCCACTTCACTGAGGATAAATTGATCTTTCTTTGATGAATCATCACAATACAGACAGAAATTGAAAAAGTAGCATAGGAAATGTTGCTCTGAACAGCTTCAAATCAAATTAGAACA